TGCACCACTTTCCTCTTGTGTACCAGGCCAGCCATTCCAACACAGAGGTTCACATTGGTGAAGCACCACTTCTCCCCTCCTCCTATGAGTCCACAGTGACTACTCCTGATGACTCTGGACCTTTGCAGTCCATAAAATGGTTTTCAGAACAAGTTGTTCCACCACCTTCCCCAGGACTGACGTGAAGCTAACTAGCTTTTATTTCTCTGGACCTTGCACCTTCCAAAGGGCCTACTCCTTAGAAAATAATAAAAACTAATTATATATAGAAATTACAGAAACAATGTCTATGACCAGATAGATATAAGAACAACTTCTGAATAGATAATGTAAGGCTACACCTCAAAAGCTGCCAATTTGCTTCCACAAACAGAATTTTTGCCCTGATAAACTCATACTCTTCCAAATACTAAGTGTCTTGAATTAAGACATCTGCTCTGTTGTTGCAGGTGTTCTTCCTGCAAAGGGAAGGAAATAACTGATGAAGACAGAGATAGAATGTTTATTCATGCCTTAAATCATGAAAAGACTCTTTGCTGTTTATATAATACTTTACAGATTTCTGCATATACTACCAATGTTACTATTAAAAAACTGAATAAATAACATTCTCTTGGAATGTTAACCAGTCTGATTTCCAAACTGCATGGAACACAGCCTTCATACTTAGTTTTAATTATCAGTATATTTTCTGGAGTGGAAACTTTAAAAAAAAAAATTACAAGGCATTCCTTAGCATGCATTTCCAGACTTAAGCTCGTTATGTGAAAAATAAATAAAATGGTGAATGCTCATCAGGATACAGAAAGAGCAGGGCTGACACAAGTGGGAAATTCGCCAAGAATTCAAGAGCAAATAAGTCACAGACCTATAAGATGGTTCTGGCTAAAACTGGATGCCCAGGACTAAGCTTAAAAGGAGAGCCAGGAGCAAAGGACAGAGTGCGTCAGTAAGTCAAGGCTGGTCTGAGCATTTAAGGCCCACTGAGGCTCTCAGGTCCCTCACAGTACAGTCTGTAGCTTGAGTTAAGCTACATCTGAAAAACCAAGATAATTCTAGGACATGCAATTAGTGTTATAACAAGGATGAATCTAACCTACATGCCAATATGACTTCAGCCACATTTTACTGATGAGCAAGAAAGCAGAAGAGTTGAAATCCATCTGGAAGAAAAGCTTTCAACTATTTACATTCTGTAACTCCTCTTATGTCTGCTTGAAATGAAACATGCAAGGAAAACTGCAAATTGCTGCAGAAATCTGGACAGATGATTTCCCCCCCCCCACCCCTCCCATATCAGCCAGTCATGAAGAGTACTCATGAAATTTTGCTGGTGAATGTGAGCTTATGCTATACGTTCATTGTCAATAAATCAGACATTTACAAAAGTATAGAGGGCAACACTTTGAATTGGTGGTTTCCTCCTCACATCATGAAGGGAAGAAGCTTTCTTTATTGAGGATATTATATCACACAATTACCTAATCTGTAAGTGGGAAGAAAAAAATATGAAGGGCAAGAAGTTAAGAACTGTCACATGAAGTTCAGATTACAAATATAAGGAATCAGCTGGCATTTAGTCTAGTCTATCATTTGTGGTTGTTATGGTTTTATTATGTAAGGGAATGGGATTTTCCTTAGCTTTTAAGTTACTATGTTCTAAATGTCAGTTTCACAGCAGTGAGATGCAGAAATCTGTCTCTCACCACTTGCTGTTTTGATGAAACACAGTAGTCACTAAAAACACAGGGCTCGTGGATAAGAAGGCTTGATCTGTATTTGGCTCTGCCAACTGCTGTCATTCCAATACATAGGTAAAGATTGTATTAAATAGTAAAGGCAACAGATATAGACATAACTGCTAGACTCTAGATTCTACAGTGAATTAGTGCTAGACTCCTGACTTCAAGAGAAGTTGTAATGTTTATGAAATACATTCAACAGAAGGAGATAAATGGGCAAAGACAACAAAATGGTAGAGCTTTTGTGTTTCATGGGCAATTAAGAGTCTACAACATTTCATCACAAAGAGGACTTAAACTCTTAAAAAAGTTAAGCATGCAAACTCCTGGTCAAATATTTGTCTGACTCTTGGCAATCCGTTAGCTGATAACTATAAAATTATTCTCAATTAAACTGAGAAATAATAGATGCAGTGAACACGTTAGATTCCTAACTTAGACTATAGATAAGTAATTTCACTTTTTCCTCCATCCAGCCATTGTTTGGACAAAAAGCCTTAATATGCTTTTCACAGCTGATCAGAAGTCACTATCTTACCCCATCACATGCATTTATAATGCCTGATACCTCGTTATAGTAACCTGAAAGAACAGCAGCCAAAGTTGGCAGTTCTTCCAAAAAGATCTAACCTCACCTCCTTAGTGCTTTATGTTGCTTTCTAGATTGTCTGGAGCTTTTCTTAGCTATGGTTCTAAATGAGGAGCAGAATGCAGGAGAAGTATAAAAATGTTGACTATCTTCAGATGTAACTTTAAAAATCCACGCATTTAAAAGCAAATGAAGCAGGAGTCCGAGCAAGTCCAAACATCACTAGTAATGTCCAAGACTCTCTCATTTACTGGCAAGATGACCTGGCTGTGTGAGGTTGGCTGGCAACATCAGAAAGTTAAAATGCCTTTTCTTGTACCACCTTCAGAGGAACTCATAAGATTTTCTGGCACTCTTTGAAGCAGCGCTGAAATGCTTCCAAACCACCAGTACTGAAAGAGACAGATGGATTCACAGCTTTATTCAGTAAGGATGATGAAGTTGAAAGTGCAAAAGCACTCTCACCGACTTCAAGACCAGAGAAAAGATTAAATAAATTAATTTCCACAGTGACAAAAAAAAGAAGTTTGATGATACAGACTGACTGAGGAAGAGAAAAAAGTCTGTGAAATTCAGAAAAAAATAGAAAAAACTTAATATGTTCAAAGTCTATAAAGCTGTAAAGTCAGGTTCAAATGTCTGAAAATATACACTATGCAAGGGTTAAAACACACCTGAGCATTCTATGATTCCTTGATTATGATTAAAACAATGCATACCAGCAAACCATGACAGAAGAATGACAAATGGAGAATAAGAAAAACGATCCAGAGAAAAAAGCATTAGGAAGAAAAAAAATAAGAAAATAAAAACAGTTTTCAACATGGTTGCCTGAATATTTAGAACAAAAAAAAAAAAAAAAGTTGAGATCTTGAAATCAGTGTTACTACTCACAGTGCTGCAAACACTGCAAATGAGAAGGTGAAATTACCTTTTCTATATATCAGAAACACTGGAAAAAGATTTCAGTGAGCAAATGTTACTCTGGCAAACCCAAAGCAGAAGAAAAAAAAAAAAAAAAAAAAAAAAGGTCATTCCAAAGGGACTATTCAAAACATAATAATGGCAGATGCACTAACTTCACAAATCAGCAAGTGTAAGAGATAAAAGGAATTGGCCCACCATAAGATTAAGAATTAATTTCTTCTGTATGTGTAAGGGATGGACTGGATTTGACTGGACAAGACATGTAAACAGAAAAGCAAGAAGTTTTCAGTACATGTAACTGTACAGTAGACCTAACACTTCAGTGGAGACCTTTTCCAAGCTCAGATAGAACTTTCCAAACTCAGCCATTTCAAAATTATTTATGTGTAAAACACCTGGTGAACACATTAGGAAAAAGTGAACAGCTTTCTTCCTTACGAGAACTCAAGAATAGATTTTAAAATACAGAAGATTTAACCTGTAGCCAGAGGAATGAGAGAAAATTTCATTTTTAAAAATTGAGTTACTATCCCCAAAAAAGCTGCAAAAGTGATTTATTTTTTCTCTACAGTGGTTACCATCATTGAACACTGTATAACATGAAACAAACACACGTATGCACACAATACTCAATGCACACCCCAAAAATATGGGTCATTAAGAACTTGAATAATCTTTCTTTTTTAAAGTTTGACTAACAGAACTCAGCAGACACTAGAATATACTGACTTGGCCAAATTAAATATGAAGCAAGAACATAAATTATTCCTTTCTTCCCAGGACCTATTTATTTAATTGATTGCCCAGACTTTACACTTTAACTATTTTACCATTCACCTGCTCTACTCATAAGTATTTTGAAATGAAGAGACAGATAAGTGACCTGTGAAAAGCTATTTACTTTTTCATTACTCTTCTAGCAACAGAGTTAAGGCAGCTTATTAGAAAAACATAAGAAGGTAACAGATTCCAACCTCCGCATTCTCTAGTTTCATTATTTTCTGACATTCAGTACAGGTAATACAGTAATTCTTTTGGCAAGAACACATGTGCCCCCTATAGGTTTAATACATTCTTACCACAGAAACATGAAAATAATGGAAACAATCAGTAAGCATTTCCTAAATAGAAAATTCACTAGCAGAAAAGAATATTTTTAACTCCTTTGATGTTTACATACTCAGAATGAATATGAATTATTGTTACATATTTGAGCATCTTCCCCATCCAAATCACTTTCCTTTTAAATGCAGTTCTTTTAACCAGCATAGTTTGTCCTAAGTATTTCCTTTACTGTGTAATGTTCTTACTTACCACTCTCTCTCTCTACCCCATAGCTTTCCCAAGTACATTGTAAGCTTTTTTGAAAAGTTGCAGCATATTATTCTGAGTTTATCATAATGTAGTATGCATATTTACACAACTATGTAGACAATTTATTATAATGTTGCTACAATTATATTTGCATTTTAAAAGCTGGATCATAAATGTTACCTTCCTTAGCAGTAACGATACGCTGTTTTGGAAATAACATTAGCATCCAGTTCTATATACTATTTTATAAACACAATTAGTTATCAAGGTGGGTAACGTATAGGTGATAAATCTTGACTGTTTAATGATTTACATATAAGTAACCACAACTGAGGAACCAAGGAGTAAAAATCTACAGATCCAATTCCAAAGCAAGTACAACAATAAAAGAACGCCCTTTTATTCCAAGATATCTAATTCAGCCTTACTTGAGAGTTCTTAAATCCCAGAGTTTGATTCCATCTCCTACAGCTGTGGTCATGAAAAGGTTGTAAGCTTCAGGCTTCTGAGTGCTGAATGCTGATCCCTGTAAATATTAAAATTAATTTGAAGTAACAGTTGTAGTGCTAAAGATTAGATCATTCAAGAATAAATGTTAAGTATTTTATTAGATTATGGGATAGAAAGCTTTTATGCAGAAACACAAAGGAGTACAGGGAAACACTGGCATGTGGAGAAACCCCTACAACTCCAACAGAAAAGCGTAGCTATGTCTTAACTTCTTTCCAGGACAGCCATGAGCCCTTTGATCCAGGGGCGACTCCTACCAAAAACGAGTCACAGGGACTCTAAGTGACAGTAATAAGTGACAATAAGCATGGGGTTAATTATGGAAATAGGGGAAAAACACTGTGATTGAACAAGACTTTATGGGCTTGTGTGTCCTGGAATAGCAAGGGTCTGGGAACCAGCAACTGGAGTGAGAGCACAGATCAGATGGCCTGTTGGTCTAGGTGCCAGCAACTGGAGAGATCAGAACGAGTGAAATCACATGACAGCAGCTGAAGTTGGACCATGGCAATAGGGGCCAAGGGTCTGAAGTACAAGCAACTGGGACAAATGAGGGTGCATAAGCAAGCATTTTATCACTTGCAAACTTCAAGGACTAGCCAGCAAGCAGGTGAAGTAGCTTGGTAGCCAGGTGTGTGTGCATTTCAGGGTAGGAAGAGCCCAGTAGAGCTGACTTCCAGAAGGTTAAAGCCATCTGACACAAATTTTCAAAAAAAAGCATTCTAGGCAATGAATGCTTTTTTATCGATAGCACTTCAAATACTTTTCATGACATCAAAGACTAAATATTCTACACCTTTTTCTAGACATGACCAAAATATTGATCAATTACCAAAACCTGAATTGGCCCTTGGCCACTCATTAGCAAGTAATAAATAATAAATTTCAACAGTTAATTAGAGGACTGTAACAATCATAAAATAACTAATCACTTTTCTTTTCACAGTAAACTGATATCCAATGCAAGCAGGGATTATTTTAACAACTTCTAGTTTGAAGTTACTTTTTTCAGACTGCAAATATTATTACAGTTCAGGTGAGGGACAAGAAGGGTAAAAAGAAAACTTCACAGAATTAACTACCTTGACAAAGACAAACTACACAATACAGATAACCAGTGTAGTCAAGTGTTCAACCCAACGGGGGTTGGACTCGATCTCCAGAGGTCCCTTCCAACCCCTACAATTCTGTGATACTGTGAACTAAAAGCCAAGTTTAGCCCTGGCTTAAGTGAGCACTCTGTTTCAGTAGTAATTGTGCTCTCTCATATCTGATTTGGGATCCATACCTTTAGATAATTAAATCCAGGATATCTTTAGACCTCTGTTGTTTTTTTTAAATCCACATTGGCAAACCTTGACCTTTTTACTGGCTAAAACCTTCTTTCTCCAGGGAACTAAATATAAACAGTTGGAACTCCTCCTTTCCTTTCCCTACCATTCACATTCTTGATTTGCTGAATACATCACGGAAAGCTCAAAGCCATTTCCCGCAATCAGAGCTCAACTGCCAGGAATCTTCTACTTCTTACAGAAACTGGTATATGGGTGGAAAGTTCTCCAGTCAACAGAATTGGCCAAACTGCAAGACAAAGTTGGGCACTCAGACTACAGGAGCTTTCATTTCCTAAGCTAAGGATTACCACAGCCTGCTCTAACAAATGAGCAGAAATGCACTTGCCACTGATTTCCCAACAAAGTTGGGGTCTACACATTTTCACGTAAATTCTGTGTATCATGCCTAAAAAATAAAAAACAAAAGCTAACAGCTTGTAAAATAGAAAGACATTGCATATAATCTGGGAGTATCTTTACAGAAACACAGATTCAACAGCATGTTACAGCACAAACAACGTGACAAGTTTAGTTAATTTTTACTTCCACTCATTATCTTCTAAACATATTTTTAGAGAGAGTCATAAAATTCTAAAAGGAAACAGGATTCACGTGCATCTGTTAAAATGGTTTTCCAAGAAAAAATTAGCACAGCATCACCCTTTAAGAGATCATTTATAACCATTGCTGCCATCTTACATATGAATATACATATTTGCAATATTTCCTGCTAAACTGTTCTGGAAGAAGACTCAGGATACTATTTACAGCAGACATAGCCTGATGACTAAGAACATATTCCAAGTGAGAAAGTAAGCTTAATCAAGTACCCTGAAGGCTGAAACACATCTCATGCATTGACATTCTCACAAGTAATCTCCAGAACTGACAAAAAGAACTGCTTAAAGTAATAACACCACAAGGTATATGTACTTGTGTACCACTGCTGTCTAAAACCAGCAAGAACTGAATGCCATGCTGGATTTATGTTACTAGAATGTCCTATACATGGAACAGATAAGCAAATCATAATCAAACCATACCTCCAGGAGGTTTTTATAAAACAGTAGTGAATAGATTTCTTCAATTATTTGTATTAAAAGAAAATCTAGTATCTCCATTTTCCCCTGTTCAGATTGCACACAACAGCAACCTTGGAACATGATACTGATATATTCTTGTATGAAGCTAAATAAAAAAAAATACTTCAAGAATACACCTAATACATTGCAACCATTAGTGAGCATTCAGTTCAAAAGGTTAGAGTTGGTCTAGCCTGAACAAAAGTCTCCATAAATATTAAAGCCTTAAGACTACTTCACTCCACAGATCTGCTTCTCCTGCATCATCCCTCTCCAACAGGTAGGGTAGTCATAGACTTAGATTCCAGTATGTTTTACACTTAAAAAGGATATAGTTTACATACAGCATTTTGCATTATTTTGAAAATCTATAAGATATTTCAACGTTATCTTAAAGCAAATGCCCATATATATATATATATATATATATATATATATATATATATATATACACACACACACACACACTCTAGCCATTTATATTAATGTAACAAGATAGCTGACGGTGTAATTTTCCAATGGACTTAGCTAAAGTATTAATTTTATGTAACTGAAAAAATAACTGAGAACCTTGATCTATAGTTTCCCTCCAAAATAAGGAATTTTCTTTGCTATACCACATGCCTCTAGTTTTTCTCCCAAGTGAATACTTGTCCACAGCTTTAAAGTTTTTCTTGATTAAATAACCTGAAGCCACTCAGCTGACCAAGCAAAAAGAAAAGCCAAAACTTTATATGTGTTACAAATAGCACTGAAATAGTTAGCAGAATTTTAAGTGCTTTACCAGATCACATCTCACAGGAAAACCCACAAAGTGTTATACAAAAGTAGTAATAAGGAACTGTTTTAAACCCACAGAAATAAGGGCTTTCCAAATGGAAAAGAATCAACAAAACCTAACACAGTAGGCATTCTAACATGTACAGGAACATAAAATTCCCAAATGTTCATATCAATCTTCAAGGTTTTTTTTGTTTGTTTGTTTGTTTTGTTTTTGTTTTTTTTTAAGAGGAATTTTGAAGTTATCCACTCCACTGCAATACTAAGCAATTTTTTTCCTTTTCCAAAATCCCCAAATAAACCAGATGACTTCATATTCAACTCTGTAGAACACTTGCATAAGACATAAGGCAACAAACCTAGAGTCACATAACATAGAATTAATAAGGCAAGCCCATCATTCATTTATATATAGACTAGGTTGTATGTTCTGTAATTTAGTTTTAAGTAATAAAAGAGTAAAAAAAAAAAATACATTTATCAGCTTAAGGTTATTTTGCAGCTACTTTACAGAAGAAAGTTCAAAATGGAAGAAAAAAGGAAGGTTGACAGTTTCCTAAGAACAATGAACTCCTATTCAGATAATACAGTGATTAAAATACTTGTCTTGCTTCCAAACTGTTTTTTCCCCTCTATATAATCTTTTGGGTCAAGAAACACAAGGCTTTTTTTCCCCCCTCATCTCTCTCACAGCCAAGGATCTTACAATTACCTTTATTTCTAAGAAGCCCTTTTGCTGACTTATGCGCAGTACACTTTAAACTCTGCATGAGAACAAATTTAGGCAATGACAGTCTGCTCTGAAAATGGCCATTTGCTGTATTATTATCTTTGGATTATTTTGGCTGTGTTTTGTTTGTTTCGTATTATTGGGTTTTTTTATTATTATTTAAATACAAAATGATTATTTAACATATAAATTATTAACTTCTCTTCTGCATATTAGGGGAAGACTATTAGGAGTCTATATAGCCCCCCCAGCATAATACTCTCAGAACAATGTATGTAACAATTTTGGTTCCAGGTAAAATAACACAGAGGTCATGCTAGAATAAGTTACAAGAATCATTAGAATTTCTACAGCTCTATTTCCCCATACAGGAACAAAATGTTAAACTTGTTTCCTCTTAGTCATGAAATATTTTGAGGGATCAAAATTCAGTGTGAAAGTCAAATGCATGTATGTAAATACTGCAACAAATCAGTTAGAAAAAGCACTCAAGTCAATGTCAAAGATGTGACAAGTGTTAGCGTCTATAAAAATAACTAGAAGTCTACAAACATTTCAAACGTTTACAGTTAACAAATTCTGCAATACTGATGTTAGTAGCCTGCCCAAGTACTGCTAAGTTTAAGACACACTGCTCTGCTCACAGGCTTGTTCAGTGATTATTACCACTCCCTGCTTTCCACTAGAGAATGAGTGAGACCTTGTCTGTGGATATGCCTTTATCACATAAAATTACGTTCCTGTCCATCCCCAACACAGACTCTACTGATGATGGTTAATTACGTATTTAATCTGCAATTTTTTTTTTTTTTGCTGATGCACATCTGCTATTATAGATATTCAGTAATATGTATACCTTGTTTTGACAGATCTGATGGACTGCTCTAGTATGAGCTTCTGGTATCACTGCTGTGCTGTGGCCTGCATTGAGATCAAAAACTTCCAATGCTCGGTTGCTGCCAGCTGTAAGTACAATATCTGTAAAATTCTCTGTGTTAAAGTTAAACTGATCTAAAGAAACAAAAACAGATAAACGTTTTGTTGTATTTAGTGTCTTACAAAACAACAAAAAAAAGCAGTTCTAAGGCTTAAATTCAGTACCCCAAAAATATGATATCAACACTGATACAAAAGTTACGAAAAAAAAATAAATTAGTTTACAGCTCTTCCCATATCATTAGATTCAACATTCCAAGAAGAAAATAAGAATTTGCTGAAGGATACACGAGTAGAAATCATTCACTGCTGAAAGGCTGGTAATCTCCACTGTTGAAGCCATGGGAAATTTCTGTACCAATTTGCAAATACTTTTCTGTTTGTATCTACAAAATATATAAAATAAATGTGGCATTAATGAAAGATTAAGAATTCCAGTCTGGACAGTTTCCATAAATAAATTTGATGGCTTGCCATTATAGCAAAGACAGTTCCTTTGTAGGATTTCCAACTGGCTACCAAAGCCAATTCATAGAATCACCAAGGTTGGAAAAGACCTCCAAGATCATCTAGCTCAATTATTGGATAACCACCAATGTTTCCCCACTAAACCATGTCCCTTAGTACTGCACCTAAATGTTTCTTGAACACCTTCAGGGACAGTGGCTCAACCACCTCCCTCAGCCGCCTGTGTTCAACATCTGATCACTCTTTTAAAGATTAATTTTTTTGAGCCTCCCCAGCACAACTTGAGATGATTCCCTCTAGTCCTATTGCTAAGTTGTGAAGCTGTTTTCAGATGTTAGAATACACTAAGGCAAGTCCTAGAAAACACAGCACAAATGAAAGCTAACAGGAAGCACGTACAGGCAAAACTCCAATCACATGAAAACTCAAGTGACTACTGTAACATAAACAGGTCTAAATTATACCACCATCCCAAGCCAACAAAAAGCTAATTAGAAAAACCAAAGAGGGCTGCCTAGTATCTTCTCACATTGTTTTTGTTTGTTTTCTCCAGGTTTCCAGTTCTATGCACAATACATAATCTCAGCTGACAATCCTAAAATTACAGTTTCTATATAATCCAAATTATAGCCCTATCCTCCTTTAATACCTTAAATCACTGGAAACCGATAACAGTCTTAAGTGTCTTATTTGTAATGCCTTATGTCATCCATATTTTGGAGATTCAGTCATTCTAGGGGGAAATACATTTACAGAATGGTTGTTTTCAGGAGAAGAGCATAGCTTGTTTATTTAAAAAACATTAGGAACATTTCACCATATTAGGCATTATATCACACAATGGCTTTGAAAAGCAATGCTTCTGTTACTTGAATTATTTATACTTGAATTATTCGCTAATTCGCTAATTAATTCGCTTTAAACTCCTTTCAAATGGCTCCTTCTGGTCTTTAGAACAACACATGAAACTAAATATAAAACAAGATTAGATTTTGTTTTGCTTAACAGAATCACAGAATTGTAGGGGTTGGAAGGGACCTCCAGAGATCATCGAGTCCAACCCCCCCTATAAATTCATATAGAAAGTAAAGATAATTAAAAACTTTTAAAAAATTAAACAAAACATCTACAATTCACATTAGCAGGCACAACTGCTGACAACAGTGGAAATTCACTGGTTAGAAATTTTGAAGAACACAAATTTGTTTAGGTTGTGAAACATTTTGAGATTAATCAGATGTAGAAATCAAGAAATTTGTATTTTATTCCCAGAAATGCAATAAATATCCTCTGTGACATTTATAAAGAACACTTTCTTATTTCTACTTTTCAATTACAGTTTTGAAACTCAACCAGCATTTAACCATCAAAATAAGTTGTTGTAACACTTAGCTAACTAATACTAACAAATAGTTTTTAAAATTCTGCAGAGAAATATCGATAAGATTTATCATTGTATTGTTTCCCATCCAAAATGCAGTAACAATCCATTGGTTAGTCAGATAGTATAATCATGCTCTTCTAATTAAGGATATAAAGCATGCTCTGGGGGGTTAGATCCAGCTGCTCCTTGAATCAGCTCCATTCAAGCATTCTTCCAAACTTGACTCAGAAGGCAAAATTAAGAGTTGTGAGAAACAAAAGAAATGACACAATCTTTCATAAAAGAAGTGCTGGGAAATGAACTGGAGGGAAGCCACAAGAAAATGTCAAAGAGAATTTAAAAAAAAAAAAAAAAGTAGGTACTGGAGGTTAATCAACACATATAATCAAGCCTCAGACTGGTTTGTGGATTTGTTGTAATGTCTACAATTACGTTCAGTCTACTGGCATTACACTAATATCCTGGAGAGCCTAATCGCATATTTTTGAGTTTGTGTTAATCCATCAAGGAAAGCATGGCAGTAACAAAAATGCTGGTATAAGCACAACTCCATACACATTAACAGCTTTAAATCAGGATATTACATACTTCTAACAAAGTAATTGTAGAAACACTGTACAGGATGAGAGGACAGTGTTTAAGTCCTTCCAAAATTGCTTAGGTGGGTTCTACAACTACAACACATTTCATAATACCTTTAGCATCTGAACTAGCTAGATCAAAGATAGTTCACATCCATCTGAGAGACTATGGAATTTCTTACTGTTACTGGATATGTTCTTCTGGGAGGCATAAGCCCAGAAAACAGAAGTAAAAAACATTTTAAACTAAATCTTAAAAGCAAAAAATAACCAGAAGAGGGAAGGGTACAGAAGAACAGTGTATTATTTTCTGTCCTCTTTTTTGAAGTTCTTCCAATATTGTCCGTATAGATGTTACCAGTTAGGAATGGCACAGGCCTAACTTAAATAACTAAATAAAATTTGCCTGTTTTCTGAATTTACTAGCTTACTCTGAATAGATTTGCAGCAAAACTGGGAGTGGGAATCATCTTTCCTGACTCCCACCTTCAATTTATTTCATTATTTGCCTTCCAAATTCCCTTCACCCTTACCCCCCATTAGTTTTATCTTTCTAGTGTAACATATATACAATAAAGTGAAAGCAGAAAATTGGATTTTTGAATTTTGAATTTGATTTTCCAGTCTATGTGCTGTGTCTATGTGCATTCCTGTGACAATATATGACTAAGATCATATAACTAAGGGCCAGAGCACATCCTCCATTAAGGATTTTGACAAGAAATGGAAGTTAAAAGGTCACAAGTACTTCTGCAGTAAAACCAGACAGATCACTGAAACCCACAATAAAGTAAACATTTGGAGAAATTTACAAACTGAAATTAGATCACAGCCCATTAGTTACTTTTTCAAATATGAAGGAAAAAACTGCTTTCAAAATGTGTTTTAAAGTACTGATGTAATTTAGCCTTTCTCTCCTCTTTTTTTTATTTTTTTATTTTTATTTTTATTTTTTTAAGGACTATTTAAAATTTCAGTGAAGATCAACATCCTCTATCTAGGAAAATACTCCTATTCAAAGAAATATTTAAACATGAACTGTGGCTAAACATCCAAGGAAACTGGCCAGTCTTCCCCATTTATGAATGAGGCCCAATGCTACTTAATAACACACTATTCACAGTATCAACTAATAGACTTCAGTGCTGTAATCTTAATTCACTTTCCTATTCTTCTAAAAAACAAAACAAACAAAAAAACAAACAAACAAAAAAAACCCCACACACAACATAGTCCTAGCAATGAGAAACCAACCTTGAAGAGATTTTTTTTTTTAATACTACTGTGTTTTAAAACAGTGTGCATATATAAGCGCATATATATTTGGATGTAATAAAATATCTTAGACAAATATATTGCTGAAAACCAGCAAGAGTAAGTGAAGAACAGAAAACTTGGTAAAAAAGATACAAGGACAATTTAGCTGCAATAGTGAACAAACATCCAAAAAAGGTATAGACAGATTAAATAGGAAGACTTGATTCCATACCAGAAAAGAGGAGCAAGTTAATAATCAATAGAGCAATTAGTAAAAAGTGCATGAAGAATGCTACCAATTACGTGGAAAAAAAGATGCATAAGGAAATTAATTAGACATATATAATAGATTGAAAGTAAATAAAAATGAAAGTAATCTGCTTCCATTTCACAGAAAATGAAGAAAACAGCTGCAGCATATTGGAGCCTCTGAAAGAAAATGCAATTTAAAATAATCCCAAGAAGAGGAATTGCAGAAGCTACTCAATCATAAGTTAAGAAACCGATGAAAACAAGTAGAAAGTATAGAAAGTCCCAGATTATTAAAAGTAATGGTAATTCTAACCAATTCTAAATACATGCACCCAATAATGCATGCAGTATAAGAATTATTGATAATCCTTTCCCCCTACTTACTCCCCCATTGCACAAAAGTTTCTTTGTTCCGTCAATTAGCTTGTTCAACTCTTTCATCTAAATATCATTCCTAAGACAGCCCTCCATCCCACCTTACTCCCAAGAAAATCTCAGCTCAGTAAAAGGAGTTTCATATATTTTCACTGTTCTTCTGATGGGGATTTCACTCACCGTCTTAGGTCATCCTTTGCTGCATCTAGATGGAAACTTAATAGATGAAATTCAGCTCCACAGCACAGCAATATAAATGTATCCATAAAATAAAATTGTGCAAAGCCTACAGCCCGCTGGAACATCTCTTTTCCCTGAAATGCAAGACATGTCATTAAGAATGGATTCTAAGACACTAAACATCTTTTGTCTGAGATAACTAGAGCTAAAGCATAATTTTCCTGTTAAACTAACCATAAGCCAGAAGGTTAACCTATTACGTAGTTGCCCTTCCTATTTCTGAAGTTTTCATTCTGCTTAAATTAATTGGCAGTAATGTTAAGAGTAGCTGTAGTCAACTGAATCCAATGCCATTGATTCTAAACTTCCATGTGAATTGTGGAGTAACTATAGGAAGACAAGCAGAGCTGAGCCAATGCAAATAGAAAATATATAGCAGATGTTAAAATAAAAAACTTCCTGACACGTCCACTAGAGTTGGCTACTGGACCTTTTTCTAGATTGCCATGACAAAAGCCTAATTTGAAGGCAGCGAAGATCACCTAGATCATAGTATCAGCTTGAATGACTACCAGTCTAGCTCTAGAAATCAGTCCATATGTTCCTCCTACAGAACCATTAAAATAAAATTAGATCAAAGCGCAAAGTGGCATCTTCTGTGATCTAAACTAACAGGAGTTTCTAATTACCAGAATTAGAACGGGTTCATTCTTGCAGACTGACCAGACCCTTACAGTTCTATCATCTGATGCAGAAACTATCCACTTCTTGTCATGACTCCAGCCAACAGAGTTAACTGCACCATCATGACCTAATAAAAATAATAAAGGAAATATCATAAACCCCGTTTATACTAACACATTTCTCCAGAGTTAATCATACTGTTTTAATACAGTTATATGTAACATTAAAATACACTTAAATATAGGCTTCGAACAGTTGGATTTAAACTGGTAACAGTAAACCACAAGATATCATCTAGACCACACTGATCCTGATAATAATCATATATTATTTTCCTTTGACCGATAAGCTGCCCTGATTGCTTCATCCCAGATAGATTTTTCTATGCACAGCCTTAACAACAGAAGTGCGGAAAACCAGCAAATCCAAAGGCAGAAGCCTGTGCCTTTTAAAGCCTGTACCTTTTAGAGCCTGACTTGCTTTTTTGTTTGGTTTTTTTTGGTCATGGGCATGCAACAAATCCAACCGCTGTAGAAAGGCTCAGATGGAAGAAAAATCCTGAATCTTAGAAAGATTACTTGGGACATGAAAGGCCACCAGGAGTTGAATCAGGCTTCAAATGGAAGTAATTTTGAATGCTTTGAATGCTTAACTTTCAATGCTTAAAAGCTGATTTTTCAAAGCTGCAAAGTACTAAAGACTAATAATGTAATTGGTGAGCTCTAACTTCAAAGTTCAGTCTCATAAAACACAAAACAGCAGTTACAAAAGAATCACTAAGCTAACTCATCCACAAACAAAGATAGCCATAATTTCCTAAATTCAGTCAAGCAGTATTTTCAAGAAACATCTCTGAAATTCAATTTGAAAAAGGAAAAAAATAAAAATAAAAAAAAATCACAGTATTAATCAAAAGAAAAGTGTCCAAGCATAAGTTAAATTGATTTTTTTCAATGGACTCTGAAAGTCGCTTTTCAAATGTTGCAGTATTTTATTTCACTCATTAGGTTTTTATTACTGAGCTGTTTCTATAAAGAGACAATGAAAATGCCACTGCAGCAGTTTCCATAGGACTACTTCATTAGTTAAAACATAAATAATTAACAATGTGTTTACTGGGGATAACTTTAAGAATTATAATCCCCCCTCAATTGCAAAAAGCCTCTACAGGAATCACACTTCCCCACTTTGACATCAAAATGAGATAAACAAGATTAGAAAACCATGAAGAAGGAACTTCAAAAGTCAGAAACATCATCAGAAGCTAAAGTTTCTTAATTGTGTCCAAATTTATATCGATGCTGATCAGAAAATAAGAAAGTATGTTAAAATTAGCAAATTTCAGTCCATATTGCATTCCTAATTTGTCCAGATGAAGTCTAATTTGCTTCATACAAAATTAAAACATTTAAAGTGCTCATGCTGCCCTCTAGTGCACATTTTCTTCTCAGTCAACTGAAGTCCTATTTCAAATATTTTAAATCCAAATTAGAGGAAAACTAACAGATTTAAGCCAACTGTAATACAATGGAAAACACAACAGCAATAGAGGGGCAGCAAAGTTCCAGGCAACAGCAAACAAGAACATGCTAAAATGCAGCAACCACAGACACAGAGTCAAACAACAACCTGTTTACATCCAGAAGGCCTCAGGTAGGTAGGGAACCCCAGCAAAAGATGCCTTTACCTCCACTGCCTATACTTAATTGAGGTTTGGGAAGAGGTGGATCCTGTCTCCACCCCTTTTGGCCACTTAGGTACATTGCATGCACCTGAGCTCCTCTGGATTGGCCCTGCTTTCCCACAAGCTGCTTAACTACTGCTTCAAGCTGTGACTGAGCATTTCTGCTACAGCCAGCAATTAATATCTTCTCTGGTAATGTACGTCTGCAAAAGGGTTTATAAAGAAGGTATTTTAATTAACAAATAATAAAAAACAAGCAGAAAGCAACAAAAAACAAAACAAACAAACAAAACTGTGTAGGTACTGGGTAAGTACTTACTTTACTCCCAAAGCAAAACTTTATGCAATGGCTTTGGTTTTGTAAAATCACTTAGAAGCTTTTTATTACCGTTATGAGAATAAAATTTAAAAAAAAAAAAAAAAAAAAAAGAGAGACTTTAAGAGAGAGACTTTAAAAAAAATGAGAGACTTTAAGAAAATCTGAAGTTTGAGTAAGAACCTAAGGCTCCAGGTCCCCAGTATCTCCAAGAACAAAGAACACAAAGTGAAGAAAATGTCAGCTGGCTTGAAAGAGTCCAGTCAACTCAAAACAGACTGTGTTCAGGATTCTCATATCCTGAAGCACATTAGCTGGTTTTGTAAGAAGAGTTTTTCAAAAGGGCCCAAGCTGGATGTAACCCTTCTATAAGCTGATCAACATCACCTGTACTTCATAACAGAACACAGACACCTGAGGAGGCAACGCTGATTGGAATGCACATCTACTTTAATTGAAAGCTTTGGGGAACAAACCTCTAAATAGTAGGCTTAAAGCAAAGTTGTTGTTATCTCCTCTTTTTTCTGTATAAATACATTTTTAATAATCAGCAAAATGCAGGTGTTAATGCTGCTATATTTAAAAAAAAAAAAATGTTTTTTGTTTCCATTTCTCAATTTAAATAAATAAATAAATAGCAAGTTTTAAATTACCAAACAAACTTATCAGGCATTAACTTCTACTCCCTGAATCAGAAGCATTTCTTACTCCTGTTCTTTTGAGGGTGTTGTAAGTGAAATCTGTTTATTAACATGGCACTTTATGTTAAACTCAATTGTATACTACTCTTTGCTAACGCAGTTCACAAATTTACCTGCAAAAACATGCCGTGTATTGGTGAGATCAGAGTTGAACATCAGTACAGTCTTGTTAGCCAGCCCACAGGCCAGGTAATTTCCATCCCCTATAAAAAGATTCTGATGATTTATGTTTGAAAGCAAAAAAGGAAATAACATGCTATCCTTATACATAAAAATTACACATGCCACTGCAACAAAACAAATACTAAGTATATATTTCACATCAAACAAATTTTTTGCGTGAACATCACAAGCTCATACTGCCAAATTTAGTATGAATTTGTACACTATTTCTTCTGTTCCTGACATATTTTCACAACACGTACTCATGACAGAAATTTACTTTATATGTGTGCTACAAATTTTAAGTATATAAATTTTTAGCAGTCATATAAATGTTTCCTGACTTAAACTCATTTTTCATATTGTCATCTTAAAAGCTATATCCGTTTCTCATATATATCAGCACATAGCAGTCATCCTGGATGTCCTTAAAAGTTACAGATTTCTTGTCAACATCATAAAATAATCCCCAAAGCTATTCAAGCACAGTTGGATGGATGGTTCATTTATGTTATTGATAAGTAGGGACCACGCAGTGTCAGGTTTGACTCCCCTAATGTTTCTATTAAAATAATTAAAGCAGCAAATTGATCTATTGGGGAAAAACAACAAACAAACAAACAAAAAAAGAAAAAAGAAAAAAAGTAAGTGGAATGAGAGAGAAAGCAGAATTGCATGATTCAAATCAGTGGACGCTACTGGGTTCACTGTGAAATGCATTTTTTAAAAGCAGCATCTTCTTCCGAACTTCTTCCTATGTCTCCAGAGCACATGTGGAAAGGGTGACAAAATGTGTCATGTTTGACTGTTGATTCACCAGTCTGCTGCTCTCCACTAAGTCAGAACCATCCACCTTGCTGTTTCAGAATTCCACATCATATTTTTTTCCAAACAAATAGTGAAAATAGAAATGGATAAGAGATCCATATTTATAATCTCTGAGAACCAGTTCCTAAAAGTTAATTTTAAAAAATCAGATGCAAAATGGAGGAGTGGAATATGTTAAAAAAAAGCGTCCCAGAATTTTCTTCTATCTTACTAACTATTAAATACACCAGCATACTAAATTGTCAGTGCTACGTTTTGATTTTACCTCACCACCAATATTTCAGCTGGCTTTTTCTCCAGATGTCAGTAATTAAATACAATAAATAATGATCTAAAATATTTTTCTCTCAAAAATAACATATCTACTTCTAAACAAAATACTCAAAGAAATGCATGCCCCACACTCCCCATAGTCTTTAAGCTGTAGGGTAGTGCTCTTCTGCAGAAGTCTCCCTAATTTTTCTAAGATTTTGAGAGAATGTATTTTCAGAGTGAGAGCTGATTGGTAAGTTTGAAGCTCACATACCATTGCAAGAAATAAGGTCTCCACAACTGATCTCCCTTATGGGCCATAAAAATAATTTCTTACAGGTCTGTAGGGAACACTTAGGGTTGAGGTATGCTTTAGGAAGTTACAGACTACTTTAGCTTACTTTTATTTCTTGAAGATGAAAGTTGTTCTAGTGCCCAAAATACTTATAAAGATACATATTTTTAAATACTTTGTATATCCTGTGGTTTGCAGCACGTGCATTGACATAATAACGTACTCAGTGATATACTTTATTGCTGTCCTAGGAAAAGGTTCCTGTATAATATTTACCTGGATTGGAAATGACAAAAGCTATGACAAGACTTGCTTCTCCAAAGCCTTTAAAAAATATATCCTTCTTTGGATTATATTCAAGAATTCTTTTTTATAGTTTTAATAGATGTGTAAATACTGAATGATCTTCAAATTAAAAAAAAAAAAAAAAAAAAAAAAAGGAGTATTCTGATTCTTTTGAAACAGAACTTCAGCTTCTAACATGCCTTAATGACACCAAGTACATGACTCAGAAGATAACCTTCTGAAGTGTTAGACCACTAATTTTCAAGTTGTGGTGGAAAAGTGATGGAATGGGGCCAAAAGCAAACAAGATAGAAAATCAATGGAGAATTAGAATCATTTGACACATATTAGCAGATTGCATAGTTTTGCAAGTTAAAAAGTGATGACCAGGCAGCAGATGCCAGATTTTTCTAGGAGTTTACCTAGGAAAACCATAGCTTTTATAAACACTGCACAAATTTTGTTGTTCTGTCTCCACAAGGTCACAACAGTACATTTAATGAAACTGTACATACCAGAATACTGAACACAACAAATTCTAGTTGGTTGAAAACTAACGGATGTTTCTGCCTCATGGTTGATTGGAGGAGAACTTTCCAGTGGATATTCTTTATTTTTCCTTCAGAAAAATAATTTTTTTTTAAAAAAAAAAAAAGGAAAAACAGAAAGAGGAAAAATATTGAGATGTCTAAACCTAATTTATTGCCATTTCAATAATGAAATAAATATCACTTGCAGAGTTATTCTAAATATTTTTATGTGTATATTTCCTGGAGAATTTATGCTAAATCCAGAATAAGCATCAGAATAAATTAAAAATTATCATAATTAAATTACATCAACAACTATTATGAATTTATGAAAGAATTAACACAGCATTTTACAAAAAAAAATCAAATTTCTTAAATTACATAATTATCTAGTGAAATTAATTAAAAATGCAAACTACCTTGCTGTGAGAGTAAGCAATATGAAAAATACTTCTGCATATAAACAGAAATAGAACATTGATCATCTACTTAACAGCACTCTGCACAAAACAATAATTGTTGACTAGGTTAAGCCTCCACAATAACGTAAATCAATTATGAAATCATCTGAAGTATTCTAAGGGCTTGTCTATGTGCACATTATTAAAATTTTAAGAAACAGTTTAAGAAAAAGAAGAAAAACATCATTCATCCTTTATTTTTATGTTTGCAACACATAGAAGAATGACTTTATACAGTAGAAAGAGAAAAAAATGTGTGTAATATTCTCATATAACATACCACATCAATTAACAAAACAATGCCAGTTTCTTAAAAACATTATCTCTTGTGTCCACAATGACTGTGAATCCACTGATCAAATCAACCATCACAGAATTGCAGGGGTTGGAAGAGACCTCAAAAGATTGAGTCCAATTCCCCTGCTAACGCAGGTGCCTTACAATAGATTGCATAGGTAGGCATCCGGACAGATCTTGAATATCTCCATATCTCAACAACCTCTCTGGACAACTTTTTCATGTATATTCTATTTAACTCCATTACACTAAGCTTGATTAGGCTCAAGACAACATAACTTTAGAAGTAAAAGAGGCATATGATATGAAATCATGAAAACTCGCTGTGTCACATTCAGCTATTTTTCTTATTAGAATTGCAGGTGAAGATCTGAATCACTTGCTACAGTCATTTTACAGCAAATTTACAGTGTGTTTTAGTTCCATAGATACTCCTAACTAAAGTTATGAGAGAAGCAGTTACAAAACATATTTATGATAGAATTCATTTAAATTTGTTCCTCCTCTAAAGCAGTTGCTATATTACCTACCCTTTAAAACTGGTCTTGCACTTTGATACATTATTTTTCTTCAGTTTAGTATTTGGAGAAAACATGGCCATTCTACGAGAAAGAACAGAGACTATTATATGAAACATTCATTGTTTCATGAGAGAAGCAGGGTTTTCTTGTGGTAGTTTTTTTGACAAACAAAAAACAATCCTAGTTACTTCTTACTGTTTATGTATACTCCTAATGTCTGTAAGTAAGACAATGTACACGCTGAATGATAAAAAGATGACTTTGTAGTGATTTATAATATTCCAGTTTCAGCTGAAGTTTTGCTTTCCATGCTTTATTTGTTGGACAGTGCATTCTGATTGCCAAAGTCCATTAAGATGAAGTATTCAGGTATTTCTTTCTGCAGATTGAATGAATAAGAGTAGCTTCAAGAAAAACACAGAATGCCCAATAAAGATTTAGAAAGAAAATTGGAACAACCAAAAGGGGAGAGTAATTTTTGAGTTAGCAAAACATGCAGCGCAATTCCTTCCTAGAGCAGTACAGGAAAAAAATCATTACCATAAGCACAAAGCAAATGGAACAAAGACAGTCTTTGCTATATCTGAGCAGAATTATTATAGGTTTCTAAGCTACGTTCCCTGAAAAAAAATGGAGTCTAGACTCTCTGGAAACTATGCTTAGCAAACACAGCTCTAAATCTTTTAGTAGCAGCAGCACAGCATATATTAAAAATTGAGACATTTCTTAGCAAAACCTGCAAGAGCTTGAGCTGTATTCAGATCACTCTGAAACGTGAAAGACACTCCATCTTGCAGTACATTTTAACACTCTGTTTCAACAGTTTATCTTCACATGTCTGAAACTTCAGGAAAACACAGGGGAGATATTTTTGGTTAAGGGAGAAGTCTGACACCACATTCAAAAGTAATTTAGGATATTCCACAGTGAACACTGTGTGGTGGGATAAATGAATGGTTTTCATCTATCCCACACATCATCACAATGATGGCACACATCATCACAACCAAAAGCTCCTTTAACTGACAAGCAAAGCTACAAACGAGATATAAGAGATGCAGGAGAAAATTCATAGATGTCCTTAAGCCAGATATAGTTTCCTCTGAAACTTCTATCTATTGCTGGGGACAGTTTCAGTCATGTTCTCAAGGGATGCTTCAGTAGTGGCTTCGATTAAACAAGGAAATTCTAGATCATGGAATTAGGAATGAGATGAATAGAACTTTTTTTTAAACTAGTAGTCCAGTGACTGTATTCATCCAATCTTATCCAAAGCTTTTAGGTTGAGAGAAACTGGAGAGAAAAGACAACACAATCTCTATATTCACAGAATTAGGAACACAAACAGAACATTCAGAAATCAGCAAAAACAGGTTCATCATTTCAAAATGATTGAATCTATTTTGAGGTCCCAGTCTTTAACGGTTTTTCTCAGTAGATAAAAACCACAGACCCAGTTGCAATCTGAATATGTGGTCATAAGCAGACTTTCACTAAGATCACTTAAAAGAAATCTATTGCTGACAGGTAAAAGCTGGCTCTTAATTTCTCAGTTCCAATATTCACTTGCATTCAAAGTAAGGGTATTTTCTCATGTAATACCTTGCACCATTCTACTTATGTTCTAACAACTATACTACAAAAGGATGTTGTTGTCCAGAATAATCTATGACAAAAATGAAGTGCCATCTCTATGATCTATCTGTGGCTCTGAGAAACTGACAAATTCTCCATTCATGTGGGGAACACTAACAAAACACTACTCATTTCATCTGTGAGTGTGAGTTCTCCATCCAAAGATAAACCTTTAAAAGCCAGCAAAAAACAGGCAAAGCTACAGCAAACTTTTGGAGAAGTGTTCCTCAAGTGATTTTAGAAGCTCCTAATAAAAAATAAAAATAAAAAACAACAATCCTGAAGGTTCTTCAAAAATAACACCATGCCAATAAAGAGAGGTTGTACAGCTCATAAAATTGTAACATGGCCCATCTCAAAGGATGGTTGAGAGGAAATAAATGGCATACTTCTCCCTGTGTTGATCTGAGAATGCTACATGTGAGTAGAACAAGTGAAAGAACTAACTGGGTTTAAGTGACATAGTATTTAGAAACAGACACTGTGTAAATGTATACAGAAGTTTTCATTTCAAGACCACTTGCAATTGATCACTGATCAAAAGCTGTGAAAATTTACAATGTTTTTAAAAGGACTATGTTTGTTAAAATCATATATATTTTTCATGGGTGATCAATTTCACAGTGGTGAGACTATGCATCTCTATTACATGACAAAATATCAGATCCCAGTAAAACAGATAAAATACAAGTGTATCTACTCACTGTGGTGCAGCTGTATAACCCGATGACTTAATTTTATTATGAAAAACCAGTGGTTGATCTTTCACGGTGCTTTTCACTCCTATAGTAAAATAATATTCACTGAAGAGCTTCCTAATGTGGCGTTACATTTTTACAAGTTTATGGATATACAGTTATGCTAGAACAATGGCAATTTTTAATGTCTCCTTGTAATACAAAACACAATTATGATCAGCTACTTCAAAAGACTGAGAAAAGGAAAGAAATGAACTATCTCTTTGCATAATATCCCTCCTCAAATAATATCAAGTAGGAATTTCTCTAAACTTTGAACTAACAAAAAATACTGTTCTAAGGAACTTTTTTCATCATTTACTCGTGAATGTATTCTGTAGTTGCCTACTTTATGCTTAGGTTTTCTATTTACTAGCTATAAAATACACACAACTTACATTTGGAATATATCTAAAGATCTGAAACAAACTGGCTAGTAGGTGCACATAAATGACTGTTCTTTTATGTGGCTTGAGGAGTCATTAATAATGGCTGCATTCACCCTCTTGTAATAACATTCCTGAAGGGCAGCTTCCAGCTCAAAACTAAATACGAGCATTTCATATCAGCAGAAATGACCTAATTAAATTTAAAAGGCGGGAGTGGGAGGGTGTGGAAATCTTGTTCATATTCCAAGGGAAAACCTTCAGGTGCATTGTGAGTGATCGCATGGGCACATTTACCAGTGCTGAGGGTAGACACATCTTTAGCTTCCATCAGCTATCACTTCTCTATATGTAATCACAAAGGAGAAAATGGTCCTTCCTAAAGAATGCCTGACACCACTTGCTCTGAGATATCATAGGATTTCCTTAGAACAACTAAGATATGTTTAACTAAAAATGAGAAAGAAAGTCAAGTTATATAGAAAATTATATTCCACGCTATGAAAAGATATGAAAAAATGTAAGCATTCTACATACTTTAACTCTTTCAAAATTGACATTTCTCAGAAGACTATGTTTTAAAAAAGAAAAACATCACACTATCATCATTTTCACTACAAATATTTGGGTACAATATGAAATACTACTAGAAAAATAACATTCTGTCTAATAAAATCAAAATAAAATACATATAACTTAAAAAATAAATATATTGCTTAGAATAGGCACCAGACAGTCTTTTACTGTTTTTAAAAATATGACTTTATTAATTCATATCAAGATTGTTTTACACTTACCATGTGTTTTACTTGGACGTTTTTTATTTTTATTTAAATTTTTACACAATGGAGATGTTGGCAACAGAGGACACCTAATTATAAAAAAATAAATAAATAATTGATAAATTCAATGGACAAAATCAGATTAGGAAAAGGTGTCAAAACTTATTTTTACTAATTTGTGATAATCTACACATGACATTTTCACTTCACTTCACTATACACATCAGGTTTTTCTGCGACGTGAAATTTCAGTGTTTTCACAAAAGTCATTTCAAGGACCATGAAGGACCAGACACTCATTGAGAACTATCACCATGGATTTGCCAGGGAAGTGATGCTACACTGACTTCATAAACTTTTGTGATTAAGCGATTATCTTGTAGACAAAAGGAAAGTGGTTCATATGGTTTACCTGGACTTGAATGCTTTTGCCATTGTCTCCCATGAGATCCTCATAGAGAGGCTGATGAAGTCTGGGCTGGAGGAGCACACAGCAAGAACAGCCAGGCCCAGAAGTGATTGGTGGCACAAAGTCTAGCAAGGAATCAAATAACTAGTGGAATACTTCAACGATCAGTCCTGAGACCAATCCTGTTCAACATCTGCATTAGTAATCTGGATGGTGGAGTGTGTCCTTATCAAGGCTTCAGAAGACACCACAGAACTGGGAGAATGAATGATACACTAGAGGGTTGTGCAGCCATCCAGAGATCCTGACAGGCTGGAGAAGTGTACTGGCAAAAGCATCAACAAGTTCAACAGGGAAGAGTGCAGAGTCCTGCATATAGGGAAGAAAAACTCCAGGCTCCAATACATGCAGGGGACCAGCAAGTCCAGAAAAGGACCTGAGGATGCTGGCAAACCCCATACAGGAAGTGAACCAGCAATGCGCTCTTTCAGCAAAAATGGACAATGGTGTCATGTGGTGCACCAAGAAGTAATGCCACCAGGTCAAAGCAGGTGATCCTTCCCCTCTGCTCTGTTTTAGTGTTCAGGATTACATCCCCCAGTTCAAGACAGACACTGTGCTACTAGAGGGAGAGTTTAGCAAAGAGCCACAAAGACAATGAAGGGACAGTAGTGTCTCTCTTGTGAGGAAAGACTGAGAAAGTTTGGACTGTTCAGCCTAGAGAAGAGGAGACTCAGCAGGGATTTTTCCAGTGTATACCTGAAGGGTCAGTGCAAAAGAGATTGTGCCCAGTGGTGTCCAGTGACAAGAAAAGAAGTAATGTTCACAAACTGGAACACAGGGAGTCCCAGCTAACTACCAAAAAGCATTTCTTCACTGTTCAGTTGACCAAACGCTGATACTGGTTTCTCAGAGAGGCTGCAGAGTCTCCTCTTGGAAGGTGCTCAAAAGCGAACTGGACTTGGGCCCTGCTCTGAGTGTCCCTGCTTTAGAAGGGACCTCCAAGATGACCTCCAGATGTCCCTTCTGGTCCCAACCACTCTATGCAATTTAGTAATTTCTCCCACTCAGTACAATAAAGCAGGACAGGGAAACAAGTTAATCCAAGTCAGAAAATAACACTGTACAAGAGCATGTGATATACCTAACTGTCAGAAAAACAAATGCATTATCCAATTTTGAAAAAAATAAGAACATTTTAAGTTATTCTGTACCTGGCAATGACTGATAGACTCCCTTCATTTCCACTTTTAAGAATACCACTCTGCTGAGATGTCACCAACAAAGCAGGGTTAACTTCCAACACAGCGATGATGTCTTCAAACATTGAAGTGATCAAGCATAAAACCTGCAATAATTACACTATAAAATAGCACAACATGTACTTCACAATTTAAGCTCTAACACAAAGGTATTTATAACAGAGAATGAAACTGTTTTTTAATAATGAAAATTACTCAGAGATATCCATAGATTTGGTCTCACAGCATTAAGCAGTAAAAAGTACTTCATGGTGTCCTTCAAAATATGCTTATGGTGCTTGTATGTAATATTATATGTATATATTTCATTTCCTAAAAAAGCTCTTTTGCTGATTTTCCACAGAAATTTTCTCACAACTCAGTTTTTGCAGATTTCTTGGAAAGATTCAGAAGTTCATCCCAGCATCTGTTTGAGGAAAAGGTGTAACAACGTTTTTACCTTTTTTTCCTCTAAGGCAGCGCCTCTGCCACCTCAGTGGTCATTCTTGACATTCAAGGTACACACCAAACACCATAAAAAACAATTCACCTTTTGCTTTCTAGTCACTTCAGATAGTATTCAAATTTTGAGAACTATTAAAACTAGAAAACTCCTTAAAGAATCATCTCCAGCGAAATAACTCTGCAATTCACATTTTGAATAAATAGAAAAGTATACATGTACATGATTTGTATACAAAATGCAGAATTAACATTTATAAAAAATAACTGGAAATGTAAACATTCGTTAAATAAATGCTAAATATATACTCACCTTTCCATTAACTGCTTTCTTCATTAATGAACACAATCTAGCAAATTGAATGCTGAGGCCACTGTAATCTTCACCAAAAAGAACATAGTGGTAAGAGATGTATTTACATTTAAAAGGGAAAAAAATTTACTCATACTGTTTTGATATAATCATAACCCACGATTTTCAGTATATACCCATCTAGCTTACAGCCACATCATGAAGTATGAGTAGAATAACATGCCTTGTAATTAGCTTGCTAAATTGAATAAGAATTCATTAGTAACCACTACAAAAATCTAGTACTGACACATGTTCTGAAACAAGTCATCTGTGACAGAAAAGCACAGTAAAATTAATTTCTAAATTAAAATATTAAAAAACATTTTTTGCTGTATTAACTATTTCATATCAGCCAACAAAGAAAAGCAATCATGTTAGATTGTAACCAGACATTTTCTAATGATACCTTTGTAACATAAAAACGCTTCCAGTTCTAAGTTCGCTAAGTTTATTAATAATAAGCCAGTAGAGGTTCCTATCCAAAAATAGCTTCTATTCTGGGCACAGCATCTATTAGGAAAAAAAAAAAAGAAAGAAAGAAAACATGCCTGAGTATGATAAAGAGGCTTTTTTGTTTGTTTGTTTGTTTTTTTTACTATATAAGACACAGTAATACTAGCTAACTTGATTCCAATATGACAAATATAATAAGCTATCCCATAGAAGATTTTAAATGCATTTTTAAAATCTGTAGTTCAAAAGAAAAAGTTTCAATTAAAATTGATGCTGTGAAAATAACCTAAGAACCTGGTGATATTTTAAAGGACTTACATATTTTCTTCACTGTGGAAACATACTGAATAGTCACAGTGTTCAATTAGGAGAACAGGCAGTGATGCTTCCACTGACCCCTCTGGTTTCATGCTGTTTGTTTTGCAAAGTTCAGAAGCATTTTGCCTTCCACCTAAAAAAAAACAACAATCAACAATATAATCAGTCAACAAAACAATGAAATAAGGCAAACAGAAGGGATTTAAGAGAGAATTAAAATTAATGCAGTAAAATAGCATGAAATAAGACCACACTATCTTTCAATTTCAAAAGATGGAGATGTCTTGAGCCAGAGAATCACCTTGCTGAGGTGCAATCATTATTCATTTATAAGTACTCAGTGTTATAAAATTATCACTGTCAGTTAAATAATATATCATGGGCGCTCCGGTATAAACATAAAACAACATAACATAGCAAAACATATAGCATAAAATAACATAACACAGCATAAAATAGAAGATTCTTAGAAGCTTCAAAGGTAACTGAGAAATGGTACTCCACTTAGCCAATGATGTTATTAGATAAATATATGCATAATTCCTCCCTGTATGCCAATCCCCACCTTCATATCAACTTCATAAAAGATTCCATATGACTGAGATTCAAAACTCTATCACTTACACTAACCTTTCATGGCATAAAAGGCACACACACTCAGTAGTCAATAACAATTGAAATATAGCAAAACCAGCATACTAAAAGCACTATGCTACCTAATTCTTCTTCAGATTTCCAGATTTTATTGTAGAATTTCTCTTGCTCTTTCTTTAAGTCAGTATGTGCCACACAGCGGTAACTATGATCACTGCTTAAACTGAAGATCCAAAGCTGAAAGAAAACAAAAGAAAAGCAATGGCAATGAAATTATACAAATATGAGCTAGAGGTTCAATACTGAACTCTGCTTATGTAAGTAATGAATTTTTATTCATCTTACCTGGGACCAGAAATTAAATTACATCTATCTATACCCCAAACTTTTCAAAGGTAATTTCATTATTAGCAGAAGAAGCCATTATCAGTTTGAACAGCATGTCTAATTCCCATATGTTTATGTCTTTTAAAAACTCCTCACAGACTATTACCTACAATTAAAAATCCTAGGCTACCTGCGTGCAATTGCTTAATGGGCCACATAAGTTAATCTCATTAATACCTTTGTCTTTTTAGGCATCACCATATTTACATATTTAACTTTCTTCATGACCCATTGAACACTTACACTGAAGGGAACTTCAATATGCCACAGAAAAAAATCAGATTAATTTATTCCTAGCATTAAATTAAAGAAGAATTCAAATGCTTGAAGTGCATTTATTACATTTTTTCTTAGAATTCCACCACACTAAAATCATGGTCTCTCCCATTTATGTTTATTTGTTTTATTCCTTGGCCAAAAAATGAGAATTCTGCTTTTCATCTTTTTTCCTTTAAAACAGATACTTATAGTATCTCAGTGTACATATACTTACTGATTGCAGTTCTAAAAACTTTAATGGTTTTGAGGAAAAAGTTTGCATTTTGTAATAAAGGTGTTATATTGTTATGTTTGCTAAAATGTTGTAGCATTTTAAAACTAGCATGCAAATTGTGATGCTTCTTGATAGATAAATTAATGATAGTTGACTATTTTGTCACACAGAGATTATTTTTTATGTCTACTACCTGTCCTTCAGCACATCCAGTGATGATCTGTCTCTTTTCTTCATCAATTAGTAGACTTAGCAAAGGAAATGCTGTTCCAAAAAAGTTGCAATCAGTTCCAGAATACACATGAATCAGAAATTTTATTCAAAATTGATAGCTCCTATTTATAAGGAAAGGTAAAAACAAAACAACAACAACAAAACCCTAAAGCAAAGGGTCTTCACTTTTTTTTGTTGCAGTGGGTTTTCCATTTCTAGATCTGTAGCCTGCCTTCCTAAACTGGTATGGCAGATTTTCAGTAACCTTCTATCCACACTGCAGAGGCCATGGTTTGCTGCACCCTTTCACCCAGGCTTAAATAGCAATATTTTTCAGAGCCCCATTGTCAGATCAGCTACTGTTATTCTCATGGCCTTGCTACTACAAACCAGTTCAATCAAAGCAACTGCCACAGGCTCAGAGAGGAGTCATTCCTTCTTCCTCTTCTTTCCTACCATAGGTTTGAGCTCTCCCTTTGCTTTGAGGCATCTACTAATAGGTAAACACAAAGCTTAACAACCATTTCCCACATAGTTCCTTCCCCCAGTCGAAGTGTGCTCCAACTTGCTCTAATTGCACCATAAGCAAGAACAACCAACACAGAATTGGAGCATGTTCTGGTGAAAACCATATGGTTACTCTCAGGAAAAGTACTATTGGAGAGGAGCATCCTTGCTGCACTGACGCTTGTCCTCCTCTCCTTTTGTTCTCATCTTTCTATAAAATGCAGCTTTTGACTTTAAAGTTGATGTATGCCTTCAACAACAAGCCCTGCTAATAAACCTACATATGGTACACTTACAGTATTTCTTTTCATTTCCTACACAAAACTTTTTTTAAAAAAAAAACAACACATAGACAATAGAACTATTTACACATCTCAGTAAATGCCAACAGTTAAATGCATATTCTGTACAAGAACTGTTTATAAAAATACACTGAAACTACCTACCCACTTTAAAGGAAAATATATGACCTAGCATATAGTTTACTAGAAATATTTTTACTAGATCAACTAAACACTTACATACTGATTCTATTTTATTGTTTAGATTGATACCTTTTGCTGTACAAAAGTATATAAAAAAGGAAAATTTACCTGTTAATATCCCTGACTGATACATTAACAGTCCAGTAGAATAGTTCCATACCTGTGAAGAAAAACAAAATAAGATAGGCACCTACTTAGATCTTAGGAAAAAACAAACTTTTAAAGGCCATCAAGTGGTGAAAACGAGGAAATGCAGCCACTGAAAGCGATGCAATATAGTAAGGTTGTTTTTCACAGGGTTTGTTTATTTGTTTGCCTCTTTATCATGTCGGGCTCTGTTTAATCGATAAGTGCCAGAGCTTATTTGCCAGATAATAAAAATCACCAAAGTTCTTCAATGTACTGTTTTGACTATGAAAAACCTTCATTGTCATTAGAAATAAATAAATAAATAAAAATAATTAATTTTTACAATAACTTTACAAGCAATTCTTGAAAACAATATATTGGTCTCTATAATATCAAAGATGACTTTTGCTTAGCTTTCAGCAAATATTTTTAGGAAAAAAAAGACAACATTAATTCAAAAATTCATTAATTCTATTTTTTTTTTTTTTAATGCAGCTCAAGAATTTCCTTGCCTTGAAGCTTCTGTCTTCAGACACCGATACAAGCATATTTTTCTCCCACGTGCAAAACTCAGCAGCAGTCACTGGAGCCAGGTGGCCATTCAATTTAACTAGTATAGCTTCATTCTACGAATAAGAAAGTCAAAATAAAAGCAAAACAGATTTCAAAACAAAGCTGGCAATTAATTCAAGATCTTAATAACTAAGAATTATTGCTAAAAATAATATCAGACTTAGGTTCAAATTACAAACTCAACAAGATTTTCTTAAGCCAAATATAGCCACGTATATCATTCTGCTGGCAGAAAACACCACATGTTGCATTTGCTTTTTCAAAGTGAGTGATAAAGGAGTAATTTTTCAGATGTTTTCAGAACATTGAGATATTATTTAACTTCAACACTTTACTCTGTCATCATTTTTATGACATGTCATTGATAATGCTATTCAGCATTCATTTGTATTTGTTTTCTTCTAAACGAGAATATGAATGCATACATTACCACATTATGATTCTATTGAAAGTGATGAACTTTAAGAAACAACAGCACTGTGGCTACAAAGAATGGTATCTCACCTTTGCACTTAACATGTAGATTCGATTTCCAGCACATACCGCCACTTGTTGATCATCTGGACTAAATCTTACATGAAGAACCAATCTCAGAAGAGTTCCAATAATAATTCCTTGAGGTGTTAACCCTGCAGCAATTTTATTATTACTGAGATTTAAAACTCTGATGCAGCAAGATTCTCACAAACATTGCATAGCAGCTATCTAACAAGACATTTATATCAGTATCTGTCAGGAAAATATTCAGAGTAACCCATCATTTAATAATATATAACAATATGGGTTGGAAGATCATCTAGTCAATTAGACGAGGTTATTGGAAAGCAAAGCACAGAATTATATACCAGTAAGATTTCTCCATCTACCTTCTTGCCTAGACCATATATGGTACTCTTTGCAACACTAATAATAAGCGTGCATATCAAATCTCACTAATGTCAAGGATAGAATTTTTGTAGCAGAATGGCATGTCTAGAGATCCTAGTAGTGCCTTGTTCATTTTGGAGACAGGAAAACCTGATTCAAACCCAGCAGAACAGAGATTTGAAAAATATTTCTGAACATTTTTGATGAATATTTCAGCCACTCAGCCACTAAGCAAGGAGACTTTTCTTCTCCTGGTTTTAATTCTTCTCTGGGAAAAGGCTGAACTGGGGAGTACACCACTACAAATAATTACATAGTAGGATGATAAGAATGGCTTTGAGAACAGACATTTTTCATCCCTCTTATCACCACATCATTATGTTCATCTCAGTCATTTTGTAGATCCACATTTTATGATGCTGCCTTCAACAGTGCACAGATTTTGGACATCTTATCAAGTCTTAGGATTCCATAGGCCGCAAACTAACCAGAACATAGCCACAACAGCTACAGATGTCTTTTTCTAGGTTTTACTCTAGACACTGAGGAGTCTTTCTATAACAGATTAATGCATCAAGGTTTATCAGCACGGAGAGATGAATCACATAAAGAACTCAAGTTCCTGACATTTGATAAAAATAACGTGAAGAAAAATAGTCCAAGACTGTGCAGAGAGCAGTCTGGGCAGAGACAGTCTACACAGCATCTGCTGAAGAGCGTGTGGACAGAGACAGAAAGGTGAAGAAGGAAATCTAGCAGCAGTGAATCTGGCTTTCAAATGTCTTTATATTAAATGTACACAGACTGTCTACTGATCTTCCACTAAGTGACTCTAATTAATTTCCATGTTTGTTTCCCCTGGATTTTTAGTCCGATTTCATGCCCACTCCCTGAATCATTCCCTGAAACTACGTTACACTTGCATGGATTAAAGTGTAACAATAACATTCATTATACAAGTATTTAAAACATTCTAATTTCTTTACAAATGTTTTTTTTTGCGTTTTTTTTTTTTTTTTTTTTTTTTTTTTTTTTTTTTTTTTAATAATATGTAGCTTTGCACATTCACCATGGCAGAGTACGAAACACAATTTCTACACATTAAATGATAGGCAAATCAACATCATTTTTAACAATGATGGGCCACCTGACTCTTCCACAACATTGACACAAAAAGTGGGTCATAAAGCCTCTAAATCATAATGCTATAACAATATGTTTAGGACAGTGTCACTGGGGCACTAGTGAGCCATGACTTGCTCTCTTTCATTCTTCCTATACATTTCAGTCCATTTGAACTGCCATCAGCCGCCATTCAGCTTCAGCCCAGCCCAACCTCAGCTGCGGGTCAGCACCATGGCCAGCTCCCTTCCCTGCCAGCGCGGCAGCGCGCCGGTTATTCGGATGCGGTAAGGCGGTCGGGCTGCGCTACGGCTTGGCATCACCGGGGGAGGGCAACCAGGAAATAAAGCTTTTAGTATCTCGTATCTCTATCTCTAGTATCTCTAAATACTTTTAGAATCGTTGAATCTGAGAGGTTAATGTGTTCTACTCAGAAATAACAGCTTATTATAAAAGTAGTAGTGGAAGAAGGTGTTGGAGGGTCGTTTGTTAAGGTGGTCATTGTTGAGAGATGGGTTCGGCACTGCTAGGCTTATAGGTGGCAGTGAGTGATTCCTTCTATTGCAGATATATCTAATATATATGTTATGTAAATAATACTCTACCGTCTCGCAGTTTCGTTGTGCATTCATCAAGATTCCACACTATCACACGCTCATGGGAAGCTGAGCAGACTAGAAGTGGATTGATTTTACTTCCAAAAGACAGTGCAGAAATTGCATGCTGATGTCCTGACAAACATAATGGCTGACAAAAGTAGGTGGAAAAATAAGTCATTTCAAATTAAAATTAAAAACTATGTAAAATTACACGGATAATGTTCAAAAAATTAACAAAATAACTGTTTCAAATTCATTTTCTTTCATTGTTCCAAAATCACTTAATAATTTACAATATAGCTGTACTGGGATGAAGTAAACTTTCCTTGTAGCAGCTTATATGGTGTTGTTCTGGGTTTTGTGTCTAATCTGGCCACACATAGTTAATGCAAAATATTCAACCATTGCTGAACAGTGCCAGCGGTGTCGAGGCTTTCTCATTTTGCCATTCTGATGTGCCAACTTCCAGCAAGTAGGCTGGGGGCAGGCAGGAAGCAGAGAGCTGATACAGCAGGGCAGCTGCCCCCAGCTGGCGAAAGGACTTTCCCATACCACCTGATATAGAATCATATAATCATAGAATGTTTTGAATTGATATGGACCTTTAAGATCATCTAGTTCCAACCCCCCTGACACAGGCAGGGAAACCTCCCTCTAGACCAGGTTGCTCAAAGCCCCATTCAGCCTGGCCTTGAATGCTTCCAGGGAGGGGGCACCCACAACCTCACTGGGCAACCTGTTCCAGTACAGATTTTCTTCCTAACATCTAGTCTAAATCTAGCCTCTTCCAGTTTAAAACCATTTCCTCTTGTCCCACCGCTACATGCACTTCTAAGAAGTCCCTCCCCAGCTTTCCTGTATGCCTCCTTTGGGTACTTGAAGGCTGCTATAAGTGCTATAAGGTCCTCCGGAGCCTTCTCTTCACTAGGCTCCCAGATCTGTCAGCCTGTCCTCATAACACATCATCTTCAGCAATGAAAGATGTTGAGGAGTTGATCAGAAGGTGACTGGGCACCACTGTGCTTGCAAGAAGCACCTACCTTTGCATCACTTTCTTCCCCTGTCCTTCTCTCATTATGCTGCCTCTATCTCAGCACACAAGCCTTTCTCACTATTGCCCTATGGATCCTCTCGCTCATCCTGGGAGGCAGTGAGCCAGCGGCTGCATACAACTCACCAGCCGCCAGACTCAGGCCACCGAAACCCCTTGAGTTATTCTCATCACAGCAACAGAGCTCACAATAAATGCACCTTCTACACATAGAAGTGAAACCTAATGCTTCATCACCATATTTTTTCTCCATGCCTTCCCTTTTGACGTTTTTCTACAGCGTACAGCGGGAGGTGTTGTTACCTGTGCAGCAGGGCTGCCAGCTGTATTCCAGACGCACAGCTCGTTGCGATTCAGCGGGAAGGCGCAGTGCTGGTGTCCGCACGCCACCTGGACGAGGCACTCCGGCAACCTGGACTTAAACAGACGTTTTTCGCGGACGACCACAGGGTCTTCGCTCCTTCCCCACGAACAGCTGTCGCCCTCGCTTTCCATCCTACAGCGGGGCACCGCCGGCGGCTCGGGGTGCGTCCCGACCTCCTAACTGCGCGGGGGATCGGGACGAAGCAGCCCAGCCGCCGAGCAACGGGCGGGGAGAGAGCTCGTGGGAGGTCACTATGGCAACCGCGACGCTGCCGACGGGTCGCCGAGAGGGACAAGCGCCGCTGCGCGTTGTGCAGTCACACAGGAGCAGGTGGGCGGGGCGGGTTGCCAGAGCGACGGCCGCGCGCGCAGCCCAATTCTCGCGATAGCAGAGGGCTCAGTCTGCGGCAAGCGAGCAGCCCCGCCTGGCCCGCCTGCCGCGGTGCGCGGGAGAGGTGGGGAGGCGGCGGCGGCGGCCGCAACGGCGGTGAGTGGCGGTTGCGGGGCGGGGCTGAGAGGCGGTGCCCGCTTGTCGTGCCGCTGTCCGGGCCGGGTTCGAGGGGAGCGGCGAAGCGAGAGGGGCGGTGCCGGGCCCGGAGGCTCTTCGGAATCGGCCTCCGCGCTGCCGCTGCTGTCGGGGTGTGCCGGCCCGCCTTGGGGCGGGATCTGTCCGAGCCGCCCTGCCCTGCCGCACGTCTACGGAGCCGCGGCCTCGCAGTCGCCGAAGCCCCGGGGCGGGTCGGAGGTGAGCTGCGCAGCGAAAGGTAGAAGGCTATTTTTCTGTCGCTGTTCAGAGGGGTTTTTGTTGGTTTGGAAGGTTACGAGGGCGGGGCTGTTCTCTTGTATGCTGTCGTTGCAGAACTGGGACCTTGAGGCCCATGCGACCGTAAGCTGGGAGCTTCCTCCGTCTGTCAGCTATAAAACGCGTGCGATTTAAGTGACGTTTCAGCGGGAGTCATGCGGTTTGTTTGGATGCTAGTAGGTTACCAACAGTTTAGTAGTAGCTGTCTTGTTTAAGGTAATTGTACAGTCTTTGCGGAAGGCACGAAGGGATGGAAGCCATCTGAAGCTTTAAAGCACCCTTGACTGGCACTTAAATTCACTCAGCTGCATTCTTTGGAAGTCTTCGGCAAGGTTTAGAGCTCGTGCGTTGTGTGCAGCTGTTGTGCTGAGGCCGCCTGGGCAGCAGCGTGCAACGAGGGAAAGGGTGCGGGAGCCTTGATTGTGTAACAGCCCCTTCCCTCTCTGCTCTGCCCCAGCAGCCTGAGCTGTCATGTAGATAAGTGCTGTAAAGAGCTGAGCGTTCATATAGTAACAAAAACTTGATAAAAGTACACACGCTTCTTCAGTGACAATATGCTGCTTTTGGGCAGAGAAATAATCTACGCGTCATTTAGCGCATTGTGTTTTCTCGGTAAATAACCAGCTTTTATTGAAGTTGCTTGATTTGGTGTGAACAAAAACTGATTCCTTCCAGGGATGAAATATACTAGCTCTAAATCGTTTTGTATTCGCAGAGTACTGGACTTGACAATAGGAAGAATCAGAATAAAACATAAGAGCCATGGCAGCACGCTGGAGGAGAATCCTGATAGTATTTGTGGCAGCTCGAGTACTATGTTTGGTAAATGCCTTTGAGGAAGAGGATGTACCTGAAGAATGGATTCTTCTTCATGTTGTTCAAGGCCAGATTGGAGCAGGAAACTACAGCTACTTGAGACTAAATCATGAGGGAAAGATAGTACTTCAGATGCAGAGTTTAAAAGGTGATGCGGATTTGTATGTATCTGATATGACTCTTCACCCCAGCTTTGACGAGTACGAGTTACAGTCTGTTACTTGTGGCCAAGACGTTGTCCACGTACCAGCACACTTCCGCCGACCAGTGGGAATAGGGATTTATGGGCATCCCTCCCACCAGGAGAGTGAGTTTGAAATGAAAGTCTACTATGATCGAACAGTCGTACAGTATCCATTTGGCGAGGCTTCCTACAATCCAGAGGAGATGGAGGCAAGCCAGAAGTACTCTCACTCTACAGAAGATGAATCTCAGGATGAAGAGTCTGTTTTCTGGACTATACTTATTGGAATCTTGAAGTTAATACTTGAAATTCTTTTTTAAATTGATACGTGATGGACTAAATCACATTTCAGTTTGTGAAATTGAACATGAATAACTTTCTATAATATTTAATACTCTTTATTGTTTCCTGAAGAAGTATTCAGTTTGATTTTCGTAAATCAGAAGCAAAGTGGTGGGGAGGAAAAAAGCCATATTTAATTTTATATTGTAATTTTTTTTCCCCCTAAAAGTAAAAGGAGCAGCAACTGTGCTATTTGCAGTACTCTTCAGAGATCAGGGCTTAAAAATGAATGTAGAGCTGGGGATCCCTAAACAGGTGCTTAGGAAAAAATAACTCTTAATGATTTTCTGTCATTAGTTTCTCGATAAAGACTGAAATACAAACTGTTGCTCTGTAGTGCCCCCTCAATTTGGAGCATATTTAAAAATAAATCCTGCTCTTCTGACAGGTTACCTTCAGTATAACTAACAAGCAATGGCTTTGAAGCATACTGAAGTTGAGGGATGTAGGGTGAAGGAAGAAAAAAACAGCCGACTAAGGGGATAGAGGGGCTATAATTTGACTGCTTGTGCTGTACATCAGTCATCTTTAAGCAGAGGCCTGTCCAGTCACTCACCACCTCTGCAAATCCATGACCTGAATCAAGTGCATGTTACTTCAATGTTACAGTAGGGAAGGAAAGCCTTCAGCTGTTGTTACTTGTCAGTAGAACATTCTCATTCCTCATTAAAAGCAATGCAGTATATAATACCTTAAGCCTGAGAGGTATTTTCTTACATCTCCCTTTTATAGCTTTTTGAGATTGATTTTTTTTTTTTTTTTTTAATGTTTACAGTCCCTTTTTGTTTTCCCTGTAAATTTATATCAATAATTAAATAGTTTGCAAAGAAAATTTTTGCTGAAAGAAATTTTCAGAATATTATAAGAAAGTCAGATTGTGTTCACTTTTTCCCTCAAAGTTAGTCTTTTCCAGGAGTACTTTTTGCCTTGTTTGAGTCTTTCAAATTAATTGCTATGCAAATAGTATGTATTTAAATAGCTCTGTAATTTTCTTTTCACAGAGCTTACAGATGAGTACACTGAAATAAGTAAGTGTGGTACTATAATTTTATACAAATGGTGCATGTACCATTTAAATTTCATTATATAAAGCTTTTTCTTTTCGAACAGGAATTTGACTTTTTTGTCTAGATAGCTGACAGGACGTGATTAGAGACTTGTCTCACAAAAAATGGTTATATAGCCAAAATTAAAAGTTTATTTGATAAAAAGAAAAACGCAGTGGTATTGTTCCTCTTAAAAGTGGTTGGTTAAATAGCACCAAAGTATCACTTCAATTTGTGCAGTTAAATTTTGAAACAGCAAGGTTTTTTAGGGGAGTTTAGCCTTCCTTGCTGTTTTTCCCCCTTCTTCCTCCTCTTCTGGGGATGGGAGGGTCTTTCTGACAACAATCACAAATCCAGCGACCTATGAAAAGAAAGTTATCAATTAATGGGAAACTACCTTTTTTGTATTCACTCATCTAGTTATGCACCTTTCACCATTTCAATAGGCTCTCAGCAATTTGTAGCACTTTGTTTAATGTATAAAACCAGTTCTTCTTTAAAATGTTAAGTATCTTTTCTAAAAGGTACAGAAAGCAGCATGTACAATTCACCATCCCTTGCAGACGCTCTGCATGTAACAGTTGGTTACTTTAACACTTGCAGATCTCAAGAAGGGCCAGCGCTGCTAAGGCAGTGGTTCTTAGAAAAGAAATGACAAACTACAAGGTTTCAAGTTGGATTTTCATATGAATGACTGCAGTTCAAGGTTATGGGTGGTTACAGCAGAAAAGAATGATGGCAGTTGAAGAATGTTGCTATTGTGCCACAGGCTAGGAGGGCTTGTTTCCCAAACTAATGTGAGTTATTTCAGTGCAGTTGGGCAGCACAGATTAAAGTGCTGGCAGGGGCTCAACACCAGACCTTGTACTAAAACCTGTTAATGGAGGGAACAGTAACAGCTTGAGCAAAGAGCAGGAATATTAACTATTTATATTACAACAGCTGGAATCTCAAAAGCTGCTTTGCTCACTTTTAAGTTTTGTAGCAATATTATCTATTTTGTTCAGATTCTCTCCTTAACTCAGAATGAAAGCTGAATCAGCCACAGAACCCGGACTGACGTGAGAGCAATCTCTAGTGCTTTCCCAAATGGGAATATATATTTGAGGTAGTAGTTACAGGGAATACTGTTGCTGAATATGTCATCACAAACATAGCATGGATTTAGTATCGTGTGAAAAGCTGTGCTGCTACCAGTTATACCTCTGAAGTTTTCTTTACACGGCCTTGAGTTGGCCAGGAGATACCAATGAGCAGGTGATTCAAAGGTATAAGCTGCCTGAAATTTAGGTACCTCACTTCCAGATATGACATCTGAGAATAAAAAGGGCAAGGAAAAGTGTTTAAAAAAGGTGTTTACAAATACTATATTAAGCATACTTTTTAATTTAGAAATTAAAATAATAGCACACTTTATTAATGTGAAAGCTGTATTCCAGCAATATGCAGCAGTACAGGCATCTTTACAGGTTTCTTTTAAGAAAAGAGATCATTATTCTCAGTATTCTGTGGAAATGTATATTTAAAACAAAATAGCTCCAAGTGGGTCTGGATTTTGTTGTAAAAGCCAATTATATTTCCTATTGAGGAACTGCCAGGTTAAACTGTGCACAAGTAAATATACAGAAATAAAGCTTATGAAAAAATGGGACCCTGCTGGATGCTTTCCAACACTATTGTTCATTCTTACCCTTCAAACTGCTTTTAAACTTTCAAAAAGCAACACATCTATTCTGACAGAATCCCCAGGACTCAGAGGAGGTGGGAAGAGAACAATTAAATCTTTATTACCTGAGGGAATAGCGTCAAGCCCCACACAAAAAGTGTGATAACCACGGTCACATACATCACAGAACATCATTTCTTCTTCATGGTGAGGCTGCCCACACATAATGCATGTTTTACACTCCATACATTGCCAAGGGTAAGTCTTAATCATAGCAACAAGCTCCGGGGTCATATCAAGGCAAGAAGGGTGGCCTAGATTAAAACCAATATTATTACTATGTCTGAAATGAAATGTAAAATTATTTAGACTGCTTTTACAGAAGCTGAAGCCGAGCTCACCTCCTGGTGAGATCTGATAGTGCACTGAACATGTCAGTACACGTAACATTAGATAGGAAGCTTTAATGAAGGAGAGAACAGGCAAGAGAACTGTCGCACACAAGTACAAATACTTCCACCAAAAATCTGTCAGAGATACTCTCTTAGGAATCCAGTTAGCACATACAGATACTTACCACTGTTGTCACACTGGGAGCAATGTATAAGAGCTTCAGCTTTTCCTTTCTTGTTGGACTCCTTACCCTTCAGACAAATTCCACATATAGCATTTGGAATGACCTTTGGCTGGAAGGGTAGAAGAGGACTATAAATTCATTCCAGAAGAATTCACAGATTTAACAGGAAACGTATCTCCTTAACTCTAAAAATTAATGATTTATCTGCTTGTGTGAACCTCAGTACATAGGACAATAACTGACAATGAGTGATGTTTCAATCTTTGATTAACTATGTACAATTTTGCACTTGGCACACCTGTAGTGAGCATGGTGTAAGTTCAGCTGGAGTAGAGCATGTAGCGTGTCTTCCCCTGAATTCATCAGCTAACAATCCTCTACATGTAAATTACATGATGTAACATTAAAAATTTTAGGGATTTTGTACTTTTTTTTTTTTCTTTTTCCCCACCAAAATAGAATACTTCTTTACGAATGGCCATGTAGATTTTCCATGTGGAATAAATTAAATACAATTTCCCCTTTGCATTGATTCTCTAAATATAGAAATTTAGTTACAAAAGCAATAAACTAGATTTTTGTATTGTTAGTTTTAAAGTATCTGGTTAACTGTATTATATACTTCTACCCTTCCTTACTGTGTCCAGTCATAACCGCAGTAAGAAATACACACCATTGTACCTAATTATAGTTTCATAATATTTCTAAGAGATCATCTGGAGCCTATTTGAGTGCATGAGATGCATTTAGAAGGTAAGAGAGAAATAGGAGCCTGTTAAATTGAGCAACGTTTGTGGATTAATTCTGTGTCCAAAACGAAAAGACAAACCAACAGAGTTCTACTCAATGATGATCAAAAAAGATACAAGGCATTACATTTTTCAGAAACATCTTCACGAGGACCAAGGAACAACCCAAGCATTATGAACTTCAAACACATTTCAGTACATTGTTGAGTTTTGACCACTGCTTAATAATTTCAAACCCAATTTCTCACTAATTTCAATAGTCCTCACTGATTTTAATGACTATTGCCAGAGTTTTGAAAAGAAATGCTGCCGCAAAGGCACAGCAACTAGAGGGAATTCAAGGCATATTCCATTTTCTGTGGAACCAAATGGCTCATCAGTAAGCAAGAACAGTCCCAGTCAAGTACCAACCATTTGTGGGGAGAAGAATGAAGTTTAATTAAAAAAAAAGAAAAAAAGAAAAAAAGAAAATAAGTATATATTTAAAAACAACAAACAAAAAACAGATCTTCTTTAATGCAACTTATAGTTAAGTGCGTCTATTGCCCGTGCCAGTTTTTATGCTAGTACCTATATCTAGTTAAAAAAAATAAGAATAATCTGAACTCATATTTAAGTAGTCAGGACACATTGCTTAAGGATTTATGAAGTGTTCCATCTGTTTAAGTAAAAACACAGTTACTGTCTCTGATGTTGACTGGTCTAAACAGTTTTATTTAAAAAAAAACAAAAAACAAAAAACACCATACCAGCTCTTCACTGGTAACTTCCTACAAAAGATGACAGAGGCATTCATACAGACTTTTTTTGCTTATTTATTTTAAAAAAGCATAGTCAACCTGTTTTATACATAAATATAATAAAACAATAAAAGAAGTCTAACATTCACAAAAGTCTCTACAAAGTAATAAATATAATGGAAGCAAAAAACACACATAAAGTCTCTTACTGTTAACTAATCTATGTGTCCTACATGTATACCTTTATATCCTCCTCCTCTCAACAGAAGTGGCACACACTTAAACTTTGTCAGTGTTGTAGCATCTACCCTTCTGTTGTTCGGCCTACATTCTAATTTATATTGTGGTTGTGTTTTTATCTATTTTCTAAGCAAATCAAGCCTTTCTAGAATAACAAGTGCACTTCTCTAATCAGACTTCTAGTTTGTTACAAATTTGTATCTCACTGCCTTTAATATTCAGCAGCATACTCCCTTGTACTCCATCAAAACTAAAGTGAGCTACTTTCTGGTCACTGTACTTGCATCAGGGTACGTGCATTAACACTCTGCTCTATATATTTCTAAAGTCAGACACTGATACAGGTGCATTAATTAAAACTGCTTCCATCTACACTTCACTAAATTGTGTTTATTAGAAATCGTGCATTTAGGGGGTGGGTAGGATGGGAATCACAGCCTATTAATAATACAGTTCCAACAGTATGGAAGTAATTTTTTTCTTTTTCTTTTTTTTAATAAAAAAGGAAAAAAAAAAAAAAAAAGAAAGAAAGATTTCACATTTTTTAACAATTCAAGTTCTGTTATCCTAAATGGCTTTTAGAAACACTATGAGGGAAGTGTTATCAAATCCAAATGGGAAGTCACAATATCCCATCGATTATATTTTGCTTTGTACATATTCATCTAATCAGGGTAAGGAAGGGGGAGGAAAAGAATGCAGGTCACATAGATGATTGCTCTGCTAGTTTTAATCTCCATGCTGCTGTGCTGCAGCTCTCAAAGTCAGCATTCCAATGATGCCATTTTTGCAAGGTCATATTCTGAACACAAAGCATTCCACTTGCATATATATAGACCCGAAATAGAAGTGTTGTAAAACATAGTTTCTCAATATGTTTCAGTTTTGTGTGCAAACAAAAAAAAAAAAAAAAAAAAAAACAAACAAAAAAACCCCAAACCTCCTTTACTTTCAACAATACCCTGTGTGCGCAATTGCAATAGCCAGTCCTGCAGCAACAGAAACTTGCTACTTGTAATGTGACAAAATATCTAACACATTCTAACCCTTCTTTGTCTAAGACTGACAATAAGAATGCCTCCATACAAAATACATTATTTCTTTTACTTAAAATTTAACTCCATGGAAATGTGTAAAACCTGTAATACTCACAATGTGTTTCTATAACTATACATTTGCATTCTGATGCTGTAGCAATTATCCTTCAATTAAACCACAAGTAACCAAATTTACTGTCCTACAAAAATAGTCAATATTAGAGAATGATACAGAACACAGGTATTACAAAGTTTTAGAATTCACAGGGACAACATTTTAAATCAGTTAAGTCTTCAGCTCGAAGTGCCTTAACATTCAGGCACGTGTGGTATATAATTATCTGGTGTTTTTAACTGATTAACAAACAAGTCTTTCTGTCTTACCAGCTAAAGTGTCTCATATAATTGAGTTTACTGAAAGCATTTAAACACTCCCATGAACAAGAAAGCCAGTCCTCCCAACACAACATCACCACCTTGACCTATCAACGGGCTGAGGGCTGATGCAGGCAGGATACAGCTGCCATTGCAAAGATGTGGCACCGTGAATTTCCAGTAACAGATTGTTACTCGTGCAGTTGGTGATTTTGAACCCATAATTGCTATGGGAATCCATTTCCGAAATGCAATGCTGTATACCACCAGTGTAACTTTTTTTAAAGTTCTGTTGTTTAAAATTATTTTCTCTGTGCATTCAAAAGGCCATGCATAGATTAAACTAAATCAAATACTCAGAAATCTCAAAGTTAAGTGAAACTTCTTTATGTAAACCAGTGGCACACAATCACTAAAGTCAAGGTAAACAAAGCTAAAAGAATGTCAAGTGCCATCATAGGATTTCATGTTCATGGGAACATAGGTATGCATTCTGAGTCTACAACAATTTGCGAAGTTACATATAAAAAATAAACTTATGGTACCACAGTCTAAATCTCCATAGTTTGCATATTTAAGTTTATGAAAGACAAAACACAATCGGAGCTTCACACCTGTTATGAATTTTTACAGTTACTGTATGCAGAGAAAATTTATCAAAGCTGTCCAATTCTTGCTGTATATTAGCTTCTTAGTTTATAGCTTATTTATTGTTAATTTGGTGCCTATAGATCAGAAACAGTTTTGAATACAGAATGCAAACCATCAACAACACACTCTTGCTGAGAAAGTTTCTTGATATGCATGATCTTGCCACTGACAGTTTTCTTTTTCATAACCTCTCTTAATGTGCACTCCTGTTTGTTCTATAAACCTTATGTTAATGTAATGTTTTTCTTTTCTATAGACCTATTACTGTTCCTGTATGTCAAAGGATAATTCTCATTCTTTTCAGTGGAACAGGATTGGACAACATGTTTTAGAAGTGTTCAGTTATACTCAAAACACTTCTTGTTAAGCAGAAAAAAAATGATAACACACGTCGATTTCTGTTTCTTCTGAAAAGTATTTTTATCAATCTTCTTACCATCTCATTTTTTTAAAATTATTCTACAGTAATACTGATAATTTGTGTCTTAGGTTTGGCAATCACTGCTTCATAGCTCAAATGTACTAACATCCTAATGAGTCAGATAAAAGCATATTGCCTACAAACTTTTCTACATAGTATGAACTACATAAAATGTTCTTTTCCATATAGTGTTAAAGTGGTTATGTAGTGTTGCCTGTACAATTGTTGCAAGCTTCTTGCCTTTCATCCTATACATCGTAACATCTCAAGACGAAAGACTATTTGAAATGAACATTATAACAACATGTTCAGCCACATCGCTGCACTTTACAGCGCTGATCTCTAGGTACGTACTAAACAGTACAAAAAATAACGGATACCAAGTGCTAGTTTTGAACTGGCAACTAATTCTGACTGGCATGTCAAAGCCAAGGCAGACAGAAAGATGTAGAGTTCCAACGACCAGTCCACAATGGATTTTTCTAGTGTAGCTGCCTAGGAATCAGAGAAGTTAACAGAAACAGAGGCCGCTGAATAGCTAGAGTACAGGAGAGGCCCATGTGAAATAAAAGCAAAAAGGAAGTAAGGAAGCAAACAGATGGAGCACACAACAGGAGAGCAGCTAGTGAAGTACAGCAAGCAGAAGTTCCATAATACTGAAATACAAGTATTTCAGGGAGAGGCTGGTCAGTAAAGATGTTCAGTCAGGGGCTTTTTTCTTCTACCTTGTACCCAGGAACTGATTTGGATAATACAGAACGTTTGGAACCATCTTTTCTTGGAGTAGCACTTTTGTCTCTCGTTTTTTGTCTTCCCTGAAAAGAATCTTCCTGGTTGTCTGTGGCGCAATCACCTTCAGATACATTGCCAGACGAATTGTCCTACAATGAAAATACCATAGCTATATTTTTTACTTTTTTGGATAGACAGACAAGTCTTTTGTATGCCCCTTAGAGCCGACTAAGGTAAAAGAAGGACATGTCTTTCCTTCTACAAAAGCGTGGGGTACAACGAAATAAAACATCTTTTCTTGTAACCCTTATCTATTTGTTTTCATGCTAAAAGACTGGCATCAGCAATAACAGTAATGCTTTTTCAGTTATCTTGATAGCATAGTGGGATACACTAGTTCTTTGAACCATTTTCCTTTGACAGTCAGCAAGAAATCAACTGTATGCAAGATATTTATGTAACAGAGGGCCAGCAAAAAGTTAAAAGTGCCCTGGCCATGCATTTAAAGTGTATTACCAAACAGCACTAATTCAAATTTAATATGCAAAGGTTTTTTCTGCTACCCTCATCTCTCATTTTCACCAGGAGCACCCTAAATATTTCATGTGGATTGCAGCAGAAGAATGCCAAAGGCAAAACATGCTTCAACATTTAATACAGAACCAAACATAAATTTTATGCTGCAGTTAAATAATTTTGTGAGAATGGGAAGGTAAGAAAAAGGGGAAGAGGTTCAAAGAAAGTGAGAAACCAACATAAGCATAACTGAGAGCAGCAGACAAGATTTTTCTCAGAGAAGTGTTAAGAAAAGCCTCCAAAAAGCTCCAGCAGAAAACAATACAATCAGTCACATTTCTTGCACTAAAAATATAAAGGCCATGTAACAATGGTGCCCTACAGTAACAGGCATCTGTAATCTGCCTATATATGCCCAGAACCTAAAATCAAAACAGACTAAACAGACACAGGACAAAAGGAGGAGCGTAACAGAAAAGCAAAGCTAACTACATGGTAAAAAGAAATTGTATGTTTCACAGCTGTTGGGTGTTTTTCTTTATTTTTTTTTTTAATTATGGCAGGGTTCTTTAGGACAAGTCCATTAAAACACTACAGACCAGGAAAACTGCTACCTGACTCCAACGACAGGGAGGGGATAAAAGGAAAAAGCATATTATAGGACTCAACAGGTAGAATGGTAGGCAGCTCAGGACTCAGGAAAAGAGGCTTGAGAACTGCCTACCTTTGTATTCAACAGATATTTTGCCCAAACAATACCTTCCAACACCAAACTCACTTCATAAGAATCTCTTTTCAAATATTCCCTACACCTTTCTCACAGAAGCACATTTTTCTTTTTGTGTGCTCTCATTAAAAAAAACCATCTGAACTTCTGCTCAGTCCAAATACTTTGCCATTAATAAAAATGGAAGCCAGCAGACATGGGAACTAAAAAGAGGTGATTAAAGACCAACTATTAAAACAAATAAACAAACAAAAAAACCCACAACCTGGAGTATGATTAGACCAAATTTTTGTGTTGAAATTTAATTCTGAGCTTACATTTTCTTTCCCCAAAATATAAGCAAAAAGGGCATATTAACACTACCATTTGCAATTCTACAAGCTGACCCCTTCCATTCTTCTTTAGTTATGAGTATTTTGTAAATATTTAACAATATGGAGAAATTTCACGTGTTTTTTTTACCCTCTATCAATTCCCCAATATCTAACATTTTAGTCAGTTGAACTAGAAATTGTTAAATGCATCTGCGATTTTATATTCTGTTTTTCTCAGAATTAGGGCTCAACTTTTAGAAAATGGTCAGCACCAATACACCAACAACACCAATACCAATGATTTAGTTGTACCTGGACAGCTCATCTGAAGCACAACTGTTCCTGAGTATCAACAAACACTACCAAGGCAGGTATGTGAAACTTTTGCTTATATTCCAGTAACAGTTAATTTGAAGTTTGCATAAGTAAAGAGAACACACACACCTATTAAAGATTTATCATAAAACAACAACAAAACTGCTTTCAAACTTTTCTTTAAACTGCAGCAATAAAGTATCTGTTTCTGTATTGAATACTTCCTGCTTCTACTTCATAGGAAAACACAGTAAACAAGGCTAATCAGTCCTTTAGTGATAGGATACATTCTATGAAACCAAAATAGCAAAATATGGTGTGAACTGAACTGAAATTCACTCCTCTCAGAAACGCTAGCAGCCAGACTTGTCACTTGAGGAAAAGGCTGTAAAGAAGGAAGGTTCTTCAAAACTTATTTAAAAAGAAGAAAAAAAGGGCCTGGCATTCCAGAGATTTGTTTGACTTACTTTAAAAACAGAGCAAAACGGAAAGTTGAAGAGAAACGTTACAAAATAGAGAAGTACTAAAAAGATGGGAATTTTGAGTTTGCAATTCTACTTCAATTTACAAACATTAGAAGATTCTAACAGGAAATTACTGAAACTAAAAAAGGCAAAGAGAAAGGATTATTTTTGTTGTTGAAGAATACTTTCAATTTGTCTCACCGAATTGCCTTTGGTTTTCCGTTTCTCGTCACCTCGCCCTTCTTCTGCATCATCTGAATCCCCATCACTGTCTAATGCAGGCAGCTCTGGATCCAAAGGGGGTTCGTAAAGAGCTGTGTTTAATGGTAAGTAACGAAGTTCATCTGGAGAATATCTAAAGTTATTAAATAAATAAATGAATGCCTGTGCACTTTATGCATAGATATTGCTCACAAAATATACAAGAAAATTAGAGAGAAAGAGTAAGAAATGTAAATAACTCCAACCCTCCTTGTCAGGGAAGCACATATAAACATGCACTTCTAAAAAGATGGGAAACTTACTTATTTATCCCCACAAATGTTATACTATTTAGTACTTCTCATCTTTGTGTAGGCAGATATTCATGGAACACAGGAAGAGTATATTTGCAATGTTGCAAACCCGTGCAATCATAAAAGGTCACCTGAATGTTTACAGATTTTTAATCAATCCATGCCAACAAACCATATACTTTGTTTATAAAAGTACATAACATCTGTTCTAACCCAGGGCACACAAAGAGTTGGGGTCCAAAGTAAAATAAGTTGGTAGATTCCAGATTTCATGATTGCTGAAGGGGAAAAAATTGCAAATAAAAATAGCTACAGGATAACGTCAAGATTTCACCAGATTATCTGAGCGGGCCAAATTTCAGGCACCACAATACATCAGAAGAGGGGACACTCTCACAGCAAGTATTTATATACGTGATGTTGACAAAAGCCCCCATGCTGCACATTTGTTAGACTAGCAACTGCTTCAAGCATAAGAGTAATTCAAAACTTTGCTGCAAATATACTCAAATGTTTTCCACCAGCCAGATGTAGAGATCAGTGCAAAAGAAACAACAGTTGCAATGCTTTTAAAATACCTTTTGTAGTACTCCTGGAACTGGCCGGGTATGAGAGCCACTGGATAAGGACTAACCTTTGTTCTCTCTGTAGGCAAGATTTTGTATTTTCCTTGAGGCACCTGGATAATCTGTTGTTTAACACAAAACAATGAAGTTCTTGTTTTGTAAACTTTTGAGCTTTCCTTACCCTCCGTTCCCTGCAAATATTTTGATGTGCCAGTTTTATCCCATTTACTCAATCAGAACAGCTACCTGAGCTCTCCCATGGAAAATTCAATTCATTAAAATGACAAGAGATCCCACTCACAAAACAGTGTTACAGATTTAAGTCTAAAGCAGTAATCCTGAACTTTTGTGAGAGGCATCTTTGATGTTAATTATTATTGAGGGTCCATAGTGGTAGAAGGCAGCAACAACACCGCCATCTAATGCCAAAATCAGACTGTGACACTATAAAATCCCATTAATAATAAAATACGTCAAAAAGAATCTTACAGAAGCCTTCTTTCTTTAGAAATGAGTCAAAGGAATTATCCACCATCTAGTTTGTAACATATCACTGTCAGGAAGGTATTACCTTTCCATAATATATACCTTACTGAAATAATTTGCACAGACAAAATGTTACATCTAACAAAAATAAGTAAAATTTGATACAGAGCATTCTTTTAGATAAACAGCTAACTTTTTAAATAAATATATTGTTCAGAGAGAATTTTAGAAGCATTCCAAAAAAGAACTGGCCATTTACATGCACAGATATAACAACAGAAACTTCTTAAACTAAACATCCTCCGAATTTTATGTTGTTACCAGCAGATTAGAGACAACAAAGGAAAAGCTTACATGGATAGAAGTTAAAAAAAGTTTTATATTAAATGTATTTGAAATTATTCTTTTTAAACATGGTGTGAAATGGTTAAAGCCCCTATGTCTCTGTAATGAGATTAATCAGCCCCCTGAATGATAAGATTGTTAGAAAGGTTCTAAGAAACACCCTTACTAAAACATGGAGCTGCCTTTTGGCATTGATAAAGAAAATTAAATTTGCCTACATGTGTCTGTAAATCAAAATAGGCTCTTCTTTCTTCCATTCGCTCTCGGTTTAAATTGCTGTTGAATTCTGCAGCTTTCTTGGCAGCTTTTTTAATATATTCTGGAACTTTACTGGCTTCTACTTTCTGTGTGTTCTGCTGCTGCATTTGCTGAAACAAAAACAACTTCATTAGCTTACACACATTTCACTACCAGTTTGTGAACGCTTTTTTATATATTCCATGTTACAGATCTGGTTCACTTCACATATGCTATTTACTCACAGAGTACTCTTTATAATGATCTGTTATTCGCTGACGTTCTTTCTCTTGCAGTATAACAGAATACTCAGCATGTTTGGCAGGGTATTCTTTAATCATAAGATCAATTACTTCATCACTACGCAAAGCTGTTAGACCTGAAATAGATAAAAGCAATAATGATGCTATCTGGCAAAACTAACTGTGGGTTATTTATATCTCACAATCATCAACTGAAGTTTTTGAGAAGCTAAAGACAATAAACTACTGTGCACAATGCCTCACCCTCTATCACATAGGAGTGAACTTATGACATTTAGCTTTCAAGGCTGATTAAGGTTTTGCTTCTCCCCAAGGAGGAAAGATTCTTCTCTTGTTTGCATCTACAGAACCCAAACCCCTAAGAGGCAGAATCTTTTCTGAAAGCAGGACCTGGTGACATTTGTTTCAGTTTCTTGTAGTGGTGAATGGTTAGTTTCACTGCCTCTCACTATTTAATTATGAGGTCAGGTTCTCTATACAAATCAAAAAAGAACCACTGTGAGGTCAATTCAGAGCAGCAAACTGCACGCAGATGCCTGACTCCCGATTAAACTATTTCAAGTTCAGAAGTCAGAACGTGTCATTTTGCAGCTATCAAGTCATTCAAAACCCCTCTTCAAAAGCTTCCAATACAACTAATCTCCATTGACAACAGGATAGAATGTGGCATATATTATCACAGGGACAGTTGACGCAGCACATGCCTCTACTGTATACCTGAGATAGAATACATAATTTTGCTTCTACTGGTACAAATTAGATATTGTTATATCCTGCATATTAAAGTAAAACTTTCAAGAGAGATCTCTTGAAACTTCAGAGAGATGTTTCAAGAGAGAAACAAAAGCAGTGTACCAAGGACTGTTAATTAATAAAGTGGTGTAACATCTGCACAGATCCATGGGTACACTGGGGAAAAAAAAAACAAACTGACAGGCATCCTTTAATTTTTAACACACTCCAAGTCACACATATTAGCAGAGAAAGAACAAATACTTGAAGTTCCTTCAATATAAAATGCATTCATGACACTGTTCTATTGCATATACACTTAAGTGGCTTAATATTCACCCTTCTGACACCTAAGACATAAGCTCAACTCTATAAAATACACTAATGTTTGCTGAGTCGCTACTAATTCAGCAGAACAAGATAGACTTTTTAGTTTAAAAAATCATGCTGTTCTTTTTCTGTTAAGGAGAAAAAGGATTATAAAAGCTAATTTACAACATAGGTTTTATTAAGAAATTGGAACAGAACCAAAATTTGTTTTTAACAATCAATATTGAGCATTGATAGCCTTTGGCCGACTTACACAAACTAAAAATAAAATACAAACTGGTTTTCATGTCAGAATTTACATTTTCATTTGTGAGTCATTCACTTCTCTACCAAAATGAGTCACATTTTCAGTGTGTCATTTTTTTATACCATAACAAGGAATTTTTTTCCTCTTACCTAACGTGCACTGAGTCTCTGTGATAACATTTAGTTCTCTGAGGTAGAGTTTCTCCTTGTGAGACAAATCTCGTCGTTCTAAATCTTCAGAGAAAACAAAGAAAAAAACAGCAACAGAAGTGTATAAAATTACTCAAAATCCCCCATAAACAACGTTAAAGTATTTGAGAATTTTACTTCCAGGCAACAAGTCTGCACTATACAGGAAATGGAATACAAAGATAAAGCCAGCTTTACAGTAAGAAATCACCAACCAAATACTTCAGAATTAAGCTGAGGTCAGTTTTCAAAAGCTACTTGCTGATCTAACACTCAACTCATTCTTTTGTATAGATTTTCTAGTGGCAAGACTGAAAAGTCTTAAATTACTGTGAAAACAAACTATAGGATACATTTCCAAAATGCCAGTAACAAAACCAAAAAGTACAACATACAAAACTAATTTTGCTATGATCTTTTTTAATTAAATGGACCATTCTGCAGTCAAAAAGACACAGAGATTACATTCAAAATGTAAGAAGACAGAGTTTTAGAAGAAAGACTTAAAAAAAACCAAATACCTGGATACTTTCTTTTAAAGGAAGTCACACCCAAATATTCACTAACTTGCTCCTGAAGCATATAGTACTCCCCTGTTTCATCTGGTGGCCACTTGTACTCTATCAGGTTTTCAGCAGGAAAATAGCTGTATCTGAGCATAAGAACAACACCAGGAGAAATCAAAGAATGCTGGGAGAAAAAGACCAATAGCTACTGGCATGACTCAATTCAGAAAGTTAAACAAAGAATATGACAGAGTGGAGAAGAGCCAATGCTTCAGCATATTGAACGAAACAGTAAGACCAGCAATAAAAGTACTGGTTACTGGTATACCAAAGTACTGCTATTACCCAAGGTCCTGACTAGAAGTCTCACAGCTCCGAGAACTGTCCCCTGAGCCCATCCGCCGTCTTTTGGATGGCTGGCTGCCATCATTGGAATTTTCTTCAGTGTCATCCTGAAACAAAAATGAAAATAGATATTAATCAATTTCAAGTACTGAATGGGTAATTTAAAACATCGAAAACATTCTAAGACAGTATAAAGTTTAGATACACCTGAAGTACTCAGCTATTTAATAATAGTCTACACAAAACTGGCAGGATGGTTTACACAGGAAGCATAAGAACTGGCAAACAGTTTATGGAAAGATTGAGTAGCAAAAGCTTTTTGTTTACGGAGGGATTTAAAAAAAACCTAAAGCTACAGACTAGTAACACTATATGACTCCTACCTATATGGTATATTTGTTGCTTGCAAATATGCTATATTTGTTGCTTGTTAGCAACAAATCTCAAAGCATCTAGTGATTAAACTTACATGATTATAAGTGAGAAACAGAAGTAGTCAAGCAAGTTGCATATAGCGAGCAGCAGCAGATCCAAGAACGAAACTACCTCAAATAAAACAAAGGACTAAAAGAAACTATGGACTAGTATAGAAGTATTATTAATACAATAAATATCACTTCAAAAAATGATAAAATACAGACAATGTTCAAAATTCTCATACTGATTCTTACTGAATTAAAGTATTAATACACATTATGCTTTTCTGAAGTATTTGGAGCAGGTGGAGAACAACTGAAGAGAAACTGGAGCCAGTCACCATGCAAGGAAAAAGCACCCATGACTTTTTAACTGCGCTTACTGTGTCGTTTTACATTATTAATAGAAATGCAATCTTATAAACTCAATTTCTGATCTTAAATCTGTCACCATTACAGTTGTATTGGAAATGAATTGAATAGCTTATGCTGAAGTAATCTTTGCAATGAAATATTAAGAATTAGAAAACCATAGATTGTATGTAATTTATCAATGCTATTTTGCTAACTTGCAGATTTTAATCATGAAACACTTTGTGTAGTGGAAGAGCTACTGCAAGTGTCTAACTTTGTGCTAAGAACAATGTTACCATTTTGGATGGCTGCTTTAACAGCTTTCAAGCAAAGCGGGTAATAGTTGATATATATACATACATACATAAATATATACGTTTTTTGTAAGTTAGTGTCATCCCTGAGCTGATTTGAATTAGGCGGTCAGCTTCTGCTGGGCACAGGAAAATCATGTAGCTTTCATATGGTCCCATTACAAAGGCATTTTGGTCTGAGTAGTGTGACCTAGATCTCAGACTTCCATTTGGATTATAACTGAGGGAAAAGAAATTGTTTCTCAAACAAGAAATTGTTATTTTTTCAGGTATGCTGGCTGTGTGATTCTCTTACTTCCTCAGCCAGAAGTGGGACTTTGATTGCTCTTCGCTATAACTAATGAATGCCCACAGCTTATTCCTTCCTCCCACGCAGCACTCTAGAGTTTAGAACTGCTGGACTAAAACATAACTATTAAAGTCACTCCTATAGCAAAGCCTACAAGAAACTTCAAAACATCCTTCAGTAAGGGCCTCGCACAAGTTTCTCCTTTCTGCTTCAGAGTCTTCCATTTCCGAACGCCCTGTTTACACGACACAAGCACCCACAACGCAGCAGGGACGACTGCCTCTGCTTCCTCCTCTGCTTTCGGTTTCACTCCCAGACGGACACAAAACACGCAGAGAAATGAGGCAGGCCGGTGCAAAGGACTCGGCAAACAAACGAGAACGCTCGCAGCGCACTCTAAAGCGCTGTACAGCTCAGCCACGGACTGCATCGACGATTTAAAGAAAAAAAAAAAAGGGACAGTTCAATAGAAAGGAGCAGCCCAAAGAGGCCTTCCCCGCCTCGCAGAAGCACGCCCAGCACACCCGCGCGCTTCCCCGTTGGTTGGCTCTTTAAAGTTACAGAGCGAAGTCTCCGTACGCCAATCAGCTTCGAGAGCCCCGCCACGACGCTTTATTTTGTAACTGGCAGCCGGAACTACCCAAACCTCCTCCAAAGTGCCCACCGAGCCGTGGCCGCGCGGCCGCTCGCAGCCGGACCCAAACTTCGCGGGGTGCGGCGCTCCGGCGCGGGCGGCACTTATACGAGCGACGGCGACCGCACGGGCGCTCAGCCCCGACCCCGCGCTACAACTTCGCCGCGACCTCGGCAGGACGCCGCGCCACCCCCGAGCCCGGCGCACGCCCCACGGCGAGGAGAGCCCGGGCTCAGCGCGTCGCCCCGCGGGGGCCGGCCGAGGCCTCCCGCCGCCGGGCCCCCGAGCGCCGCGGCCGCCGTCGCGCTCACCTTCAGGGATTGGTTGCCGGGCGTGGCGGGGTCGCTGTCGCAGAGGCGCGGGGACAGGACGGCCGCCATCAGCGCCGCGGGGGCCGCCGCCGGCTGGGCGAGGAGAAGCGCCGCCGCCGCGCGCCCCGGCCTCGCGCCGCGCCCGGCTCCGCCCCCCCTCCCCCTGCGGGGGGTGGCAACGGCCCCTACCGGCCAGCCCGGGCACGAGCGCGGCGCCTCGCGCAGCTCCTGCTCCGCCCCCCTCCGGGCTGCCCGCGGCGACCCCGGCCCGCGCCGCCGGACCGGCACGCGGCCCGCCCCGCCCGCAACGCCGCGCGGACCCGGCGCTGCCGTTCCGCCGCCGCTACTGCCACCACCGCCTCCGCCGCGCCCTCCTCCTCCTCCGGCCGCCGCAGCCGCCGCCGCTCGGGCGGCCGCGCGGCCCAGCCGTGAGCGCGGGGCCGATCCGCCTCGGCAGCGCTTGGGCAGCAGCGCGGCGCGCAGGGGCAGCATCCCCCGGGCGTGGTGGGCGCCGAACGCCGCCGCCGACGTCCGGCGCGGGAGCTGGCCCCGGCAGGGCTGGGCTGCTCCGTCTCCGGCACGTCAGCCGGGGACGAGCTACGTTTGTGAACCATCCACCAGCGCAGGAGGGGTGTACGGGGGGCGGGGGGGAGCACTCGCAGGAAGCCGGTGCGAGCGCTCTCCCCCCCGAGGAGGGCGCTTGAAGCCGGCTCCGCCGCTGCGCGGAAGGAGCGAGCGCGCCGCCGTCAGCCCGCACCCCCTCCGGCCGCGCCCGGCGCCGCTCCCGCAGCCGTACCTGGCAGGAGAGCCCCCGTCCGCGCTGCACTTCGGCCCGCACGCAGCCCCGCCCGCACCGCACCGGAGAACAAAGCGAGAAGCCACTCCCACGCGGGGACCGCAATCCCCCGCCTCGGGCCGCCGCGGCGGGCGGGGAAGCTGCCGCACGGCCGGCAACGAAGCCGCTCCTGCCTGAGCCTTTGGCCCGTGCACCGCTCCGCACGGCCAGTACTCACAGCCCCGGCACGTTCAGGGGTAAAACCTACAGCCTCAAACATTTACGTGGAGCTCATAACAATAGAAATGGTGTCAGCGCTCCCATCCCACGTTCCGCAGTTCTAAAAGCAGGTCTCTCTGGGGGCCTCACAGGTCTGCCTTATTAGCTCTCACTGTGCTTGCCTTCTACAGCCCGTTATCAATAGCCATGCTGCTAAGCATGTGTCCTCTTGCCCTGGCCCCGAGAAGCTGCTTACTGAATTCAGCATTTACCCACCTGCCTCAGCCCTGCTTAGCAAAAGTAAGTAGTACTTAGCAAAAGACTAATACTCAAGGATATTAATAACCAAACTCAGTCCCTTCCAGGAGCATACGTGGAAATTCACACAAATCAAGCATGCAAAAGATGGCTTCCTCCTTAACATTTCTACCTAAATTGGCATTTTATCATAATGCTACAAAAAAAAAAACAAAAACAACCAACAGCACTGCCTTCTCTTTCAAAAAAGCACACACTCAAGAGAACCATCACCTACAATTTATTCTAAGTATTCATTAACAACTCAATGCACACAACAGACAAGCAGCATTCAGAATTTACTGAAGTTCAACTTTCCACCAGTTGCTCCGACTTTCACAGCAGAGTGCTACAACAGACGAAGCCCATATGTACTCAACCTTACACATTTCAGAAGTTATTTTTACAAAGCAAAGTGGTCAAAATTTTCTCAACTATCACATCAGGTTTGTTATTTTTGTGCTAGACTTTGGACTGATGCTGTTGGTAAGTGGATGTTCCGAAAATTTTCAAATATACCAAGTACTGTGCTGCACAGAAGCAGGTGCGTCATCTTGGGAGTGTCACTCGTAATAACAAGCTGTTATCAAAGCCAGTGCAATAAATGTTTCAGTTTCGTATTTAGCCGAAATCCAGGTGTCTCTTTGAGCATCCCAGACCCATCTACTGGCGACCTAAAGGAAAGAAAAGACAAAGCTATGATTGAAGTTACTCATAACACTATTTTTATATTTTAGAAGAACACAAAGCATCTCACAAGTGCTGATATAATTGCATTATGAGAGCTACAAATAGAACTGCACAATGATAGCGAAAACAAACAAGTGCTATTTGATACTAAAATGCATATTCTTCCTTCACATTAAACACCCCACCACAACAGACCCAAACATGTCTACACCAAAACCTCAGTTCTCTGTCATGTTCACTTGACAGCACTTTAGCATACTGGACCATAAAGCCAAGAGACACCAGTGCTGGCAACAAACTGAGCTAAGAAGTAGCTGCTCCCCTCCACCTCTAGCAGCAGCTTACTCAAGTATACTTGCAGCTATTCTGAGCTCTTGCCTTTTTTTTTTTTTTTTTTTTTTTTTTTTTTTTTTTTTTTTTTTTTTTTTTTGTAGAATTCATTTCAAATCTAAACTGTGAAAATTGATTACTGAAATAAGCATATTCTTCATGGGAAAAAAAAAAAAAGTTTGGAGCATTTGAGTAAACCGTCACATCCTACAGCTTCACACCCACACAGCACAGATTTAGAAGCAGCATACTGTGACACAGCACTGGGAACGTGGGTAGAGAAAGGCCTTTCACAGATCAAAGACAGCATCCTTTCAAATATTGTTTCAGAATGTACATTAGGAACAAGGCATGATTTCACCTTAGAAAGACACAAGGTATTAAGAGGTGATGCTCAACACTCATAACTACAAGTGCTCTTCAGCATTCAGGAAGAGACCAAAAAGAGCACAGAATGCCAAAGTAAGCTTACAGCACTGCAAATTTACACATGAAAATTGCAATCTGAAATGCTTTTGCTTTGGATGTACTAAGTTCAGATCACTCTTGTCAAGTTGTGGTCCCGCCAGCATCCATTTGGCAGCAGCTGCAGTTAAAACAGCTTCCCTTCCTTTTGTTGGCACCTATTCCTTTCCACATCACCCCATGCTACAGCAACTGCACTGCATTTCACATTTGCATACAGTGACCCAACTGGAAATCAACGTTCGCTGGAAAAAAGAAATATTCACTGCCTTCACACAGTTATACTGGCATAGGGCAGAGTGGAAACATCTGGTTGACAGAGATGCATGGGCTGCTTTACCACTGTTACTGACCTCAGTAAAAGAAGAAGAAAAGAAATTAAGTTTAAAGAAATACAACCCCATATACAAGTATGGAACCTGAATGCTGCAAGCCCACTTCTCATTACTTTGTTGAATATAGAATAACACCAAGGAGATAACACACAGTTCTAAAGGTTGTTTTCAATTCTCAAAAGATATTATAAATAATTTGTTTGCTCACATTTATTGCTTGACCTGCCTTTTCCACAATTAGCACTGTTACCACGTACTTATAACGGTCAAAGCCCATTTCCTTTGTAGCCTTTAATATTTCTTCTGAGAGTGAAGCACACAAGGATGGACTAGAATCTGCATCATATTTGGCTTGTTGAAGTTTATTCTATCAAAAACAATGTTGAAAGATCTTAGTTCTCCTCCTGGGAGTCCTTTGCAAGAAATTTTTACAGGCATTTTCTTTAAAAGAAACTAGTAAAACAAACCGTAAAGTAGAAATGATGCTCACAAACAGGAAATGCTGCACTACTTTCACTCAAAAAATGTTTTGTCTATTTTTTGAAAGTAAAGAATTAAAGAATTAAATATGTCCAACTTATCTCCATTCAGTGAACAGGGATGTATTATTTATCTCCAAAATTCGGGGACACCTCACTGGAAGAGAGCGCTGCAAATACCAGCTGAAGGCAGGTCTTCAGAATTACAGGAGTTGGTTGTAGCTTTTCAAAGTATCACTAACAGCTACATTTTAACAAACTGCTCCCACTTTTTCCTGCTTATCTTTTGTACACAGTGGTCAGACTGTTGAGGACACCAAATATTTTACGCAATTCATGTGATAGTACTAGAAATAATTGAAGCATAGTTCCACAAGATGGTTATCTGGATGTTTTGGAGATCAGGCTACTTTGAACTGCGCTGTAGCTCACTCCAGTTAAGAAGTGGGAAGGAGTGCAAAGAGCTTCAGCTCCATGTTAACAGCATATGCTTTGTGACTACCTTGCAGAAAGCCTTCTGCACCTTGCAGAACAGAGCACATTCATACTACATGTGCGCCAAAACAATGTCTGCTAAGACCTATGCATTTATTTAAGCAACTTCCAATGTTCTGCTTATATAGTCACAAACTACTACTGGGGAAAAAAAAAAAAAAAAAAAAAAAAAATTTCATAAAAAAATACTATACCGTTAATATTGCTTGAGCTTTGTCTCTTACTAACCGATCCTGAAATTTATTATATGGTTCCAGTCTGTACGTATTAAGATATTTTATTTTTGCACTGAAACACTCTTCTTTCATAGGGGCTAAGCCTTCATAATTTGATAGCTTCGTCTTTCCTTTCATCTGTGCAAAATAAGAAAAAACTGCATTACATATCAATGATCTAGTGTTTAATGGCTTCTAGAAAATACCTTGTGGGAGTACATAAGAGGGAACAACAACAACAAAACAGTCTAGGAGTGTGTCACGGAAGACTCATAGCTTTTTTTAAGGCTGTTTTGAGACCACTACCTTCACTGAAAAGTAGAATAGTACTTTCCTTCTGCTCAATTTTCATTTCTTTTACACAAACTAAAATTAAGTTTGTACTTAACCTCAGCTTAAAAAAAAAACAAAACAAAACAAAAAAATGTGCCATACTAGTACCCAAAATCCACTTTGGGTTTAGAGGAAAATTCCACAAATCCCTGCTCAAGACTTTCAAGATTCTCATTCAAACATTGTACACAAAACCTAAAATACACATTTGGTTTGTTTACTAGGAAATTTTACTTGTCCTATTAAGCAAATGTTTTATGAGTTAACGTCTTCATCTGCTAATTTAAAATGTACTTCAATGTGCAAGCTTTGTCATTTTGATTGGAACTTAAAAGCGGGATAGCAATTCTTTTTGTGAGTCCTCAGAACTGTGAAGATCCAGATCTTCTCCCCACCCAGATTCTGTAACATAATTCTCTTCAATACAAAAACAAAATTTGACCTTCCGCAAATACAAGCTGCAGGTCTAATGATACAAACTGGCGTCACCACCTGCTGTCTCCATGGTTGGCTTAAACCACAACCATTGAACAGTAAGATGACAAAAGCGCACAGAACCAGTGAGATTGCAACAAAAGCCACAGTCAGCAGTCATCCACACCAGCTACCTTGTATCCACTTCCCAGTATCCCCAGTTCCTCAGTCCCTTGCTCTACTTCCTGACTACAGAGAGAATTTAAACCAGAGAAAGTTACCAGCTACCTTTAAGGAGAGAGCACGAAGAGGGTATAAAACCCTAGTGAAGGGCTTACACTAAAAGGAACAGAACAAATAGAACAAACATGGGTAACGCAAAAATCTAGTACAAATTTCTTGAGAAGATACATTACTCAGAGGCTCACAAGTATTTCAGCCAGAGGAGTCTGAAAATAAGGGAAGCAAAATAGTTTCTATGATGTCACTTAAACATTAGCCATGTTAACATGAAAGACATTACCTACGCCTATATCTCCTGTTTCCTTAACATTAGATTAATTCTGCTAAAAGCTATTTAGGTTGCTGGCAGCCCTTATGCAAACTGCCTGCAAGTGTTGTTACCACATCACAGAATCGTAGGTGTTAAAAGGGATCTCGGAGGGGGGTCACAACATCCAACTCCCCTGACAAAGCAGGTTCCCTACAGTATGCTGAACAGGAAAATATCCAGGAAAGTATTTAATATTTCTAGAAAAAAAAAGATTAATATCAACAATTTGAGCTCTAAATAGTTCTGATACTGCACTAAGATGTAAGTAGACAAGTTCCACTCAGGTTGTGGACTCTCCTAATCTGAAACTCAAAACTCTGAAGAGTTAGCCTTTACCTGCTCATTACAGGTCTTCTTAAAAGAGAATTTATATATATATATAATATATACATACGCATACACCACACATACAATATATATATTCACACACAAATATATATATATATTAATATATATATATTAAGAAATTGCTATCTGAGCCAGTTCATGAGCATCCCAAACCATTTCAAAGGAACTGAACCTGTGAAAGCAGTCACAATCTAAAAAGCAATTCATTGATAACACATTTGAACACGATTCACAAAAATCTTCAGCCTCTACAATTGTAGATAAAAGAAAACATGTCTACAGTGTATGACTTCAAATAGTGCTATTACCTAAAGTTTAACAGCTAGCAGTAATAACAGAAACTTCCACAGACGTTTCCTTACCTGCAAGAAACCATTTACCAATGAGGCAATATCATCAACATCATCTCTATACAGTGCTGTTCTGCTCATGAAGAATTGAAATTGTTTTTGACAGGTTCTTGGCAATACTAGGTAAGGCATTCATAGGTAAGCCAACAGTTATTTACAGAAAGAACTCACCCAACAGGTGAAGGAGCTTTCTGGCTACAGCAGCACTCCCTCACAAGAAGCAGCCTAGGTCCAAAAGATGCCCTCCTTCCAGTGTCTGGCTCTTACATGAGCCAAGGGTATCTCATATCTCCACCATGGATCCACCTTTTCTGGTCAATTTCCTATGCTCCCTAGGCCAACCACACCCCTTCACCAGGTGCTCCATCACCAGTTCAAGATGTGATCTAACAGTTTCTCCACAGGTGTTAACTTCATTAATTCAGTAACTAAGACATCCAAAGGGCTAACAAGTAAACCGACTACTGTATTTCACAATACAAACACTGAATTTTACCATTTGCTTCTTCATGTGCATTAGCATGGGGTTCCAAAATGTAGCACAATGTTGTGTTGTGATTACATTTCTGTGCAGTATCTATGCCTTCATTGAAAGAATCTATCAGAGCCACACAAACTGATTTTGCATTGAAACTACTAAAGCCTGTACTAAAGCCTGTTTTGTATTCCTGGACTCCAGGAGAAGCTTAATTTTGGACATATGAGTATCAGTATGATTAGAAAACAAAGATTTTGGCATTTCACAAAATTATAGAGGATTACACTGAGTTATAGGGGATGGAAGGCACCTCTGGAGATTGTCTATTTCAACCCCGTGCTAAAGCAGGTTCTGGACAGTAGTTGCACAGGAAAGCATCCAGGCGGGTGTTGAATATCTCTAGAAGAGATTCCACAACCTCTAGTCTGTTCCAGTGCTCTGTCACCCTCAAAGTAAATTTTTTTCTCATATTCATATGGAACTTCCTGTTTTAGTGCATGCCCAGGTTGCTTGTTCTGTTGCTGGGCACCACCAAAAAGAGTTCGGCCCCAACCGCATGGCTCTTGCTCTTCAGATTTTTATAAACATTGATAAAATCCCCTTAGTCTTCTTTTCCCCAGGCTGCACAGACCCTGATTACTCAGCTTTTCCTCATAAGGGAGATGCTCCAGACCCCTTATCATCCTTGTGACCCTCTGCTGGACTCTCTGCAGCAGCTCCCTGTCTTTCTTGAACCGGGGAGCCCAGAACTGCACGCAGTACTCCACGTGTCCTCACCAGGGCAGAGCAGAGGGGGAGAATCACCTCCCTTGACCTGCCAGCCACTCTCTTTATGATGCACCCCAGGATCCCATTGGCCTTCTGGGTCACAGGGGCACACACTGCCGGCTCATCTGAACGAAATACTGCTTGTTGTTAGGGCAGCTTTAACAAGAGTTGCTTTAAAGTTACACAAACGGAGTATTTCTCCAAGCACTGGGCGCGCTCGTCCCTCACACACAGAACTGCCGGCGGCCATCACCGCCCCTCTCGGGGCGCGGCCGCGATGACCGCCACGCCTCCCTCACACCCGTCCTCCCGGCCCGGCCGCTCACGGTGTTTCTGTCCCACACGCTCGTTCGCCGCCTTCCTAGCCTGTGGGCGGTGGCGGACAACTTCGACACGTTGGAGGAATCCTCCATGGTTGCCGGCTGGCAACGCCGCTTTCCCCAGGGAGGGGTCGGCCGGAGGGTGCACCTCCGCCCTGCTCCCAACGCCGGGAGCAGCGGCCACGCTCGCGTGCGGCCGGCGTGACGCTGCGCTCCGGCAGCGCGCCGTGACGTTGAGCGGGAGGGCCCGGCAGCAGCGGAGGTAATGGCCGTGACGGCCGCCGCGGTGCGGGTGTGCTAGCGCTCCGCTCTCGGGCGCTGCGGGGTTCCCCGAGGCCTCGTCGCTTGTGCTCTGCGCAGCGGAGTTTGCTGCGGTTCGCGTGGTGCTCTGGCGGTGAAATCCGGAGCGAAGGACCCAATTAAGCTTATGTCGAGCGATGTTTCGCGGCCATCTTAGGTTAATAGCAGGCTGGGTACAGCAGATGGCACCTGATTGCAGCAGGGGATGTGCAGAGCTCACATGCAGGCCGTGATCTTCAGTCTGTCTGCATAGATTGCTCGGAAAGTAATCCCTCCTATTTGTTTCTTATTTATGTTAGGAAAGCTACAGCAGAGACAAAGGGTGCAGTAACATTGCTTGATAGAACACATTTGCAGCTTCAAAGCACAATTTTTCAATATAGTCACTGCCAGTAGCCAGTTAGCATGGATGAGCTGATTGAGATGTTTCATTTTGTGGTGTGACAGATGTGCATGGCTGTCCAGGATGTGGCTTGGCTTTCTTGTTGCAGTCACTACTGCTGAAACGCACCACCCACTGCCCCAATATCCACTGTTTGGTCTCTATAAATGAACAGCAAGCATTGATGAATGTCAGTGAGTGCAATTTTTTTTATTTTTTTATTTTTTATTATTATTATTTTTTTTTACATAGAGGAATTCAGTTCCACTCCCTTTCTTCATATGCACTTCCATGTCAGATGCTATTTGGTCAGACTACTCCCCTGCTGCCTTCTGTCATGCAGCAACAAAACATAGCAGAATATTGGTGGGAAGGTTCAGCCTAGACTGCCATACCACCAACATCCACTTTTGACGTTATGAGCCAACGAAATAGGAGGTACTGTTTCAGAGCACCCCTTATATACAAAATAGTTTGAGTCAGAGGGACACCAGCACCCACTCAGTTCCAGCCCACTGCCATGGGCAGTGCTGCCCCCAGCCAGCTAAGGCTGCCCACAATCCCATCCAACCTGACCTTAAACACCTCCAGGGATGGGGCATGCACAGCCTCTGGGCAGCCTGTACCAGTGCCTCACAACTCTCTGACTAAAGAATTTCTTCCTTGTGATTAGTTTGGTAGGTAGAATGCATCTGAAATATACAATCAATGAATGTGTAGATGTTATAGTTATGAGATGTACCAGAGAGCTTGCTACACAGTTATTACACCAAAGCAGAAAAGATAAGATGGGTACCTGTATTCTGGGCTCACTTATGAAACTTGCAAGGAGTGGATCTCCAGAAGAGATCCTTCTCCACTGGTAGTCAGCTCTTAAATGGGTCTAGGGGAGATGAAGCCAGGCTCCACCTTCCGGCAGTGCTCCTCCTGTGCTCCTCGGCTGAGTCATTGCTCACCTCAGGTGATCAGTCACAGGTTCAGGCCACGATTCAGCAGTTCCCATACAATACCAAACTGAAATTATTCAAATAAAAGCGATTCTGTCCTTCCTTTTTCAGATGGCATCATCAGACTCAGTCACAACTTGTCTTTCTCCACCTGTGCATTATGTGATTTGCAAACTTGGCTTTGAAAAAAAAGACGTCTATGATATTAATAATATTGTGTCTGAAAATGGAGAAGTATGTTGGCAATCTATTACAGAGCACATACGTTATCTTGAATCAGGTTGGTATTATTCTGATACGATGAAAAGATGTTTACAGCTGATGTAGAATCTCATTACAGTTCACAGTACTCAGAACTTAGTTGTAATATTTTATTTTGGTATAACGTTAGCTTTTCTGCTGAAATATGTACATTTACTATTTACAGGGAGCTTTAAATGTTTTATCCATTTCTAGTATTTGGTTATAGATGACTCCTAAGATCCATGTAATCTATGCTACATAGATAGTTCAATTTTTGTTTCCCCATTCTTGTTTCCCATCTCCTTTTGCTTGTACGTAAGGAGTTTGCCACTCTCATGGCTCATACTTGTTTTCTTCTATGTTCTTTGTATGCCTTTTGCAGTAAATTTAAAATACCTGGGAGTCATCAGTAGGGCTACTGTTGTTTTTGTTTCCTTTTCTTCATCTTTCACTTGTACAGAAGTATTATTTGTTCTCCCTTCTGTATGTAGAACAGTTTATAATTATGCTTTTTTGAGCAGAACAAAATGTTTCTATTCTGATGAACTGATTGTTCATTTGCCAAACTGCAAGCTTTTGCTAATTTGCTGAAATGGTGAAAATGGTAGATATTTCTGCCCTGGGCAATATTTTTCCATGAGTCAGGAGAAGATTGCCACCCAAGAAAAGCAGTTATACCACTCTGTAGGGTACCACATCAATCTGCATTCTTTAAAGGGTGTAAGTGGTGCTGCTTGATTAAGACCTCAAAGCCTGCAGTAGCTTCCAGCTTGGTTACGTGGAATTGCTGCGCTCTTTTACTAGTGGATTCTTCCACTTTCAATAAAAATTGAGCATAATTAGATGTGTTATATTAGGACATAAATAGAACTTCAATTCTGTGTTTTCTTATATTAAGTTTTGTTTTGGAGAAGGCATTTGAATCTGGTTTTACAACGCACTTTTCTGTAGTTCATTTGTCTGTTCTTTTGGACAGTAAATTGTAGTTTACTGCTTGTGCTGAACTAACAGAGATAAAAATGTTTGAGCTAAATGTATATACAGACTGTTGGAGGCTTTACTTGTTATGACTTCTAAAATATAGAACCTTCAGAAAGTTTGGTTCTAACCACATCTCATTTTTCAATTCAAGACCAAAGTGTGGATTATATCAAAAGCATACGATCGCTTGGACCTGTATGTGAATCTGTTAATTTGCACTTCAAATCTCTGACCAAGGACAAATTTGTAGTTCAGTATGCATTATGGTTCCAGTGGACAAACTACACAGAGGTATGGAAATATCTGTTGACAGTTGTATTTTGGCACATGACCTCTTGTTGGAAGTACACACAAAAGGGATCAACAATCCAAAATGTGTTTCTAATTGTCCTTCTCTTATATAGTCACTTCTAATTTTCCTGACTCAGTAATAAGATATATATATTTATATATACATATAGGGTTTGTTCTAACCAAAGATAGTAGTATCTTCTTTTTCTGTAAGACCTAGTGGTCTGTGCTTAATATCAAATATTATTATGCAAAGTCACGGATAGTTTTTTTTAGATGTGTTGTACTAAATAAGTTTTGATTGAAAATACAGGAGGTGTGGACAGTAACCCTTCAATCATACACAGTTTGATCACCTTGGCGTGGTTTTATTTCTGTATTTGCATAGTGACTATCACATATGAATATTTAGATCATATTTTTTGTTTGATTTTGATTTCTTCTTCTGAATATGTAATTCAACACTCTTCTTCTCTCCAACCCCCCTTCCCAAATCACACAGTTATTTCTTGAAGTGTTTGATGTTCTACAATATGCCCAATCTACAGAAGTTGCTCTTGGGTTAATGAAACTAACATCATGCTTGGAGAGAGCTTTGGGTGATGTAAGTGCCACTATGAAGATTCAATTGCAGGTTTGGTTTTATAAGATGAGCATAAGTTCTTAGATTTAGTTGCACAAAAGGGAGATTATCCTGTAGTGTGATGGTGTGTGGTAGCCTGGCCACACCTTCAGTGATAGCATTGTGTGTTATGTGAGCACAAATGTTTGAAGACCTAGTAGGAAGCTGGATTGATTAACTGGTCTCAGTTCCTTTTCTCCTTTTTTTCACACTCTCATTGTTATTTTTCAACTGGATCGATTCCGTTTTTCACTCCATAATCACAAAGGTGCCACCACTGCTAAGGTTGGCACGCAGGCTAGGGAGAAGGGAACACCTATTGTTTTTTTGTTCTTGGGGAAATCACCTCCTTCCTACCTCTCCCCGTCTTGCTTTCTTGTGAGAGTATGTTGCCCATAGATGAGATAGAGTAAATGGTTGTTGAGTCTCTATGAGGAAAGGGTAGAAGACAAAAGGTTCACATCTAGAAATACAGTTTTTTCCAAGTCTGAAGGGATGATGAATTTTTGAAGTAATTAAAAATTCCTTTAATTGCATGGTGTTGTGCTTGCTTTCTTACTTTTTTCAATTTTAATTTTTTTTTTTTTTTCTTGGAGCAGTGGAGAGAGAAGAATGTGCCTGTAGGTACTGTGAATATCATAACCATGGGAACATCAAATAGGATATACACTCTTCTCTGATGCAGGCCATAGATTTTAATTTGTAGTGAAACTTTAGAATTGAAAGAAAGTTGGTGGGTTATGTTTGATTAGTGATTTTACAACAATGAAAACACTTATTGGGTGAAATTAGTCAAGGTCTATGCTTGAAATACAAAGAAATATATTGAATTATTTATGTTATAATCACTTCTACTTATTTTTTTTTCAATAGGTACATTTACTGATTGGTAAAGATTGCCCCTTCCTTCTAAGAGATTTGCTTGCTTCTGAGCAGCTTGCAGTTGTTTTTGGACAAGTTGTAGTAAGTGCACAGTTCTGAAATAAATAACAAATATTGAGCTGATTTTTTTATTATTATTATTATTATTTTTTTTTTTTTGCCTGGCTTCCAGTTTTAGTCTTTGCCTGTGCTAAGGAAAAGTTTCAAATTCTGTAGTACGTTGGGAAGACTTCCATTACATACATGTGAATAGTGAATATTATAATTGTATGCACTGGAATGAGCTGCCCAGGGAGGTGGTGGAGTCACTGACCCTGGAGGTGTTCAAGGAACGTTTGGATGTTGTGCTGAGGGACATGGTATAGTGAGAGCTATTGGTGATAGGTGGATGGTTGGACTGGATGATCTTGAAGATCTTTTCCAACCTTGGTGATTCTGTGATTCTGTAAATTGAAAT